CCTGAACAAAGAGAAAAAGGCAAGCAGCAGAAAGGGATCAAGGTATCGGTATCAAGGTATCTAGCTCTAGCAATCTAGCAATCTAGCAATCTACCTCTCTAGCACCGACGCATCTTGTACTATTGAAAAAAGGACGCATGTACCTCTTCTTCTTACTATACCACCCACGCTTCCCGGGACTGCCCGCCTCCTTCACTAGTACACGCAGACACAGCTACCGTCACTCCAAACAAAAACAAAGAATCCCAGGTAGGTGAGCAAAAAGAAAAGAAGAAAAAAGAATCGGGCAAGACCAACAAAGATCAAGACCCATTGGCACCAATCAGCATGGTGGAAATCCGTCTAAGAAACATCCAAGTCTAACCGCTGCCTGACCTGGCCAAGAAGCAAATTCACTCTAAAACAGCATTCACAACCTACCTAGGTACCTCCTTTTTTTGGTCATTATTTGATGATTATATTATCTCTTGTCTCTGTCCCCGCCGTTACCAGAGATTTAATTAATCTTATTGGAATTGGAATTGGAATTCTATTTCGATTTCTATTTCTATTTTCATTTTTGTTATTATTATTATTATTATTATTATTATCATTATTATTATTTTATTATTATCATCATCATCATCATCATTATTTTTATCAAGAATACTAAAACTTGATAATCCTCACACCCAAGAACTAGGATAACACCCTCCATACCTTTAACCAAACTACCATCTTCCAATTGCGCTTATTAGTGCATGACCAGTTGAATTGATCACCTCGTGGCAGGCCTACGAAACCGTCCGCTGCGTATTTTGGAATGGAATGACTGGTTAGAGTCATCCGCCTCCATCCATATTCATACACACTCCATACACACTACACACACACTACACACCCACTACACACACTCTTTATACTTCTTCTCACACCTCCCTCCTTTTTCCATTCAAAAAGAAGGGTACCATACCATACCATACCAGGCCATATTTATTATACTTATTGTTCATCTCCTTCCCCCTCCCTCCCTCTCTCTCTCTCTCTCTCTCGCACATGCAATTCGTTTTTCTCCCATTGCTTGCTTCTTGTTACTTAACTCCTCCTCATCAAGCACACATACATACATATCTCAACTCAAATCATTGCCATCTACTGTGTATTTGATTCACAATTGCTTGCATTCCTCTCTACATTCACCAACAACAATAACGCAATACCCCGCCATACCTCAATTGAAATCCCATTTTCAATAAGCAAGGTAGATCACCGCTTTGCATTGAATTGGGATCAAACACAAAGAACTCTCCAGCCTAATCCTCAGCTGACCAACACGACGCAACACTTACATATACACAGCCTTCTTGACGATATCTACGATATATCTGTCTCAACCCCCGAACTTTCTCTTTGGCACAAAAATCATTTCGACGGATTTAAGAAGCGGGACATCCGATTTCCATTTGCTTGCTAGACCTAGAGTGGCGCGGGGCAACGAACAAACGATTATGGATGACAAAACATTCACCTCGATCCGGCAACCTTCTACTACCTTCGATTTTAGACACTCACCAATTACGACAAAACCATTCATCAATTCAACAACCTCCACTTCGACACACCCAACTCAATCCATCAAGCCAATTCGTGCAGCATCTTCTCGCCCCATGAGTATGGAACGTAAGAATAAGCTTGATCTCGCCAGTACGCTTATGTCACCTCCAGAGCCACTTCCTCTCGATAATTTTACACATTCGTGCCTGCCATTCACAATGGATTCCAAGATGCGAAAATTACATTCAATCGTCGGTGCGACGTTTCCCATATCGCCACCTGTGTCTCCAGAGACCAAGGCTCGGTCACCAGAAGAGCCCGCTGGTTCACAAGCAATTACCGATCCAATTCTATACCCACTTTCCGACAATCAAAGTACATCTGCCACTCAATCATCCCTCTTCGCAGACAATGATGATCCTCTCATTACACACCGTGTAGTCGATGGACATGTTGCAGCCAGGAAAGCTAGCATGTTCCGAGAAGCCTCCCCTCCACGCCGCGATGAGTACGAGCTCGCTCTCGAATTCAAATCACAAGTTGTTAAGATTATGTCAAAGGATCCGGCTCTGTGGTTACGAAGGGAGATGGTTTATCTAAGGAGAGATCGTGAGTTACAATCTGGTGCAAGACGATGGACAAATATTGCACCTGCCGTGGGAAGAAGCACAAGAGTTTTAGGCAACACTGCTACGAGAGTCACAAAGACAGTACGCCCTCCTCGACCTACCCAGACACCTCGAGGTGTACGTACAGTATCCTCGACAACCCCTGGTCCCGATGTCAAGCGAGTTGCTCGGGAAGATAAGGATTTTGAGAACCTTCCGGATTACTGTCCACCAATTACCAGTCTTCCTAATAAACCCAATTCATTGAAAGTGGATTGGAAGGGTGCCCCAATCGATCTCCGCAGTGATCCAAATGTCCACCATCTCCACCCGGATGAGGTCTCTCTTGCAGCCAATCTTCGTCTTGATTGTGCAACTTATCTTACATCCAAACGCCGAATCTTTATGAAAAGAATCGAAGCATTGAGAGTCGGGAAGGAGTTCAGAAAGACAGATGCTCAACAGGCATGTAAGATTGATGTCAACAAGGCTAGCAAACTCTGGCAAGCATTTGACAAGGTTGGCTGGCTCAATCCATCATGGGTCAAGAAGTATGCCTAGAGCGATGACTCTTGTCGGCTGATCAAATTTCGCCACTCAACACTATCACCTACCACTATGATTCTACTGGCATTCATACCAATACACGAGCCACGATTACGACATTTGCCTGCCTTTTTTTTTTCCATTCATGAATTATTTATCGTTCTTAACTGCATTGCGACGGTTATTCGCTTACACCGAGACTCAACTTTTCTTGACATCACAGTTTACAAGCATATGGGTCCATTTATTTTCTTTCTATTTTCCGCCTGGTGCATATCATACATACATATCAACATCATATTATCTTGCATCGGGCTGCTTTGATACCCAAGAGAGCCTGCCCAGCTCCTCTCTCACGACATCTTTTTTTCTTGTTTCATCTCTTTTGTTATCCATAGCAGGGGAATATTACATTCCAGCGTGTCTCACTTCCTGCTTATTATTCTTTGACTTTAAAGTCTGGATACATACATCTTCAACACCGTGGATGGATTTCTCCTTTTTTTCATTTTTTAGATAGGATGGATTAGTTTGTTTTATGGAATATGATTGACCTCCTGGATGGTGGGATATCATTGGGCGTTTCTAGTGACATATGAGTGGTATCAACTCTACTCATGGACCATGGATGGTCTGGTTGTGGGGGTATGGCATGGCATGGACGGGCTTGTTTGGGGATTGGGTGGTTGCATTGGGTATGGGGTGGGCGGATTTTTTCCACGTGCGTACAGATTGGATTGGATTGGAAGATTTGGGAGCGAGAGGAACACAACACTGAATGCACAGTGTGGTCTGACATGGCATGTCATCATATTGAATAGTTATGGCCTTTGAAAACTCGAGAATTATCTTGTATGAAATGGGATGGATCAATGAAATTTGAAGATGGATGGATTGATACATACAGATATAGAGTGTCGTAGTGCGTAATAAGTGTGTTGTGGGTTGGAAAGTTAGATAGCCTCTCTTCCATGAGAATTCTGGAATCGATATATTTTAAAGCAATTCTGACTATGACGATAGTGTTTTTTGTTGTTGTATATTGTACAGTATGTTCTTGTTACTTTGTGATCTTTGATGATTGAATGTGTGGATGGATGGATGGATGGATGGATGGATGAAGGGGAAGGGATAGCGAGTTGATGATGTGTTGATATTGTATTGTATATATGCTTGGTCAATAGTGAATCAATCGTAAAGGCATGTATTAGAGTAGTGTGACTTATATGTCTATACCTATGTATGTGTGTATATAAATGTATATATAAATAAATGTATAAACATCTGCTATAAAGCTTAAACAGATAGATAGATAGATAGAGAGATATATTGTCATTCTATCCCATCCCATCCATTTTAGCTATCCTATCCCGTCTATCTCAGTTAATCTTATTACATATATTATATTATATATAGTATATATAATATACTATATATAATATATAACGCAAAATATATAGCATATAGCAACATGCTATATAGTATATAATATATAACACAATACACACCATATAGTATATAACATACATCATATAGCATATAACACAATACACACCACATACCACACACCATATACCACACACCACATAGCACACACTACATAAAACATAGCTAATAAGCTAATAAGCTAATAATCTAATAAACTAACAAACTCAGTAGCCGATAACCCCCCTTCCCACCCCCCTTTACCCCCCTTTTGCTTGCATTGCTTGCAAGCGAGAATCGAGAATCGAGATGAACTGGTTGTTATGAGTATTGTGGTGAGTAGTGTGGTGAGTATTGTGGTGAGGATACACTAATGATAGATACACTAGAGTCTGGATCTTGAGGTGGGTTTAATTTTATTTTGGATAAATTATACGAATAGATTGTATGGATTGTATAGTGAGGTATGCGTGTATTTCTGTCCGTCTATCTGTCTAACTGTCCTTCCTGCTAGTTAGTTATGTATGCGTTCTTTTGTGTGGCTCGCGGGATTGTATGTATATTATGAATACCTAGGTAGGTACCTAGTAGGTAGGCAGGTGCGAAAAATCAGATGAGATGCTTGTTTGGCAGGGTGGGATTGAGTGAGTGAGTGGTACTCTCATTGTTATGGTATATATAGCTAGCTGTCATGTCACATTTTCTGGTATAAAATTGTACAGTAGATAAGTATTCAGATAAATTCTTCTTCTTAGATAATAGCGAATCTATGCTTTCTCTTGGCATCATTATATCGTACCCTATCGTATCCTATTCTATCCTACCCTATCCTATTCATCTTGCAAGAACAACCATTCATTAAATATTAACCTAGATTCCCACGCACAATCAAGCCATTCCCTGCCCAGAATTAAGTAGACCCTCTCTCTTCGCTTCATTAATAGCCTTTAACTTTGCCGTTCCTACACCCGCAACACCAGCCTGTTGATCTTTGCCCAACCATGGTTTGACCGCATCTCCCAACATGCTTCCCGAAAGGAAATAGACAAACAATCCTAGGATAATTAACACAAATGCAATTGGATACAAATAGTAGATGGTGTATCCGAAAACATTGATACCAATAACCACACCCCAGAAATTGGCCGTGAGAAGCGAGATGTCGAAGAATGCCGCAGATGCCATTCGTAGGATAATAGGAGCTAGGGTATAGAAAAGTGCAAGAGCGAGTGTGTATCCAACAATATAACCTCCGACTTGGCCGTCCCAGACGGCGTTTTGGAAAGAGTGACGATCAAATATGGCAGCTGTGATACCGTTGATGATGATACCGAAGAGACCAAGCATGCCTAGGACTTCGTACATAGGCCGTTTAGAAACGAACCATTCTTCGAAAACGTTTGAAAGACCGTAGAGGGTAGCGCCTGCTAATGCAAAAAGATCACCCTTCAACATGGTAGGTGGGTTGCCTCCATTGGAACCAGTGATATGATCAGATGCAAGAAGAATACCCATACCACCACAGCAAACGAGAATGGAAATGACTTGGAGCCACTTGTATCGAACACCGAGGAATATGAACGAGACGATTACAACGCAAACGATGGACCAAAAGTTGATGAGTTGAGCGCTGAGGACATTGGCTGTAGGATGTTAGTAACTTTACACAATACATTTGTGAGAAATCAGGAATACATACTCCATCGATAAGCCAAAACTGTGAAATAATTTCCCTCAACATCCATGAAAGACAAGATGACATACTTCCAGCCATCTACCCAGAGAAGCTTGAAATAATCTCTCCATCCATACTTGTAGATGGTATAAGTCGTGTAGATAGCGCACAGCACGATGTAATTGAAGAGAGTCTGAAAGGCTGGGATCGAGGTTCCCTTATTCGCAAGGAGTGTACTGAATGTATTGGTAGCCGTGATGCAAAGTGAAAGAATTTGTCTGTTAAACGAATAGGTTAGATTTGAAAAAATATGCTAACATTGATTGGCATAAGATAAGACGTGAGAAGTCTTTTTCAGGGCAATGGTGTTAGTTGTCTCATGGCTTGGTCTCCCAGGCTCTGAAGTAGCAAATACTTTATAAGTTGCACAACATCATATGGACTCGTCGCCATCTCATGCCAAAACAGCGGAAGCAGAAAAACTTACCCAAGAATTAAGACAATCCAGAAGTCTCTTGTAAGCAAATAAGCCCACCACTTTTTATCTTTGGTCTCCAAGTTTTCAATGGCATGTTCCAAAATCTCTCCATCGACTTGATCACCCGCGGCTCTATCGCTGGCCATACCAAAGCTTCCACTGCCCTGAGCGCCATCGCTGGATTTTATATGTCTGTCCCCTTCCAAAGCATTGACATTGGTCTCTACTCCGGCAACTTTAACATTATTTCCCATTTTAGAACTCATGTTGTTTTTCCCGATTCTTTCTGTATCGAATTCCAATTGATCCTGGCCCTCGTCTTGATATTCAGAATTGACGTCTGAGCCCGAGTCTGAATGAAAGGTGTCTTCTAAGAGTCCGATTCTCGATTGTAGATCCACGATTGGTGGTGAAAAGGATTTCCAGTACTTGATTTGACGAAAGGTGGTAGTTTGGGTAGTAATGACGTTGATCGAATGAGGGGCTGGTACTAGTTATGGTCGGCTTACCGCAAAGTCGATTTTCCCAATACGCAAATTAATTAATAAGTCTTTCTACTCCTCCACCGTTGTAAATTGTGAGCGCAAAGACTTCAAGTCGCTCACTGTGATAATTATCTTATCTGGTTCATTGACCGATGTCGTATGCACAAGAGATTCAGTGAAGAGCAAAAGAAAAAGAAGAGAATCAATGATGGGAATTCAGATTACTTTAACTTTTTTGATAAGCCTCCATTTATCAAATAGTGGGGCACAAGGTGCATAGTGGATCCATCCGACAAGTAGAGTTCGTTAAAGGGAAGTTTATGATTGGATTGACGTATGCTAGTGCCAGGATCTCATCCGAAGCTAAGGGCGGGACAATGTGAGCCTAGACTGGGGTCGGACAACCCCGATGAAGAAAAATGAAGAGTTTTTTGGTAGTAAAATTGGATTAGTGGATTGGATAAGTTTGTGAATACATTGAGAAGTGGCAGGACGACGTGGACGGTGAAGAATGTCTGACACATGGGAATTGAGAGGTACGTGGGATATCTAGTCTCCAAAAATATAATATATACGCCACTTTTTACAGCTCCACAAACGCCATCAAGCCATGCTTCGTCTCATTCGTGATATACACTTGGGCTTTGAAGATATGTACATGTGCAGTATCTCACTCAACCCAAGAACTCCTTCAATGGCCCGCCGACATGTTCTACATCCAATAGGAATGTATCATGTCCAAATTGGCTCACGTCTTCTCCAAGCTCAACATGACTTACTTTGGTATTCCCTGCCTTTCTCAGCGTGTCAGCAATCTCTCTTTGCTGCCATGCAGGGAACAAGATATCGCTAGAAATGCCCATAATTAGAGTAGGATGATCTTTCATGGCTATCATCCCAGATACCAAGTCCGCAGGGGGGCCTGAAGATGGCTCAATGGGTGTATTGATACCTGTTGTCCCATTTGCTTCTGGCTGTTCCTGGTATGGGCTATCTGGGAGGGTAAGGCTGCAAGCTGCATCTCCAAGAGAAGATTCAAATTCAGCCCCAGTTCCCTTGCGGGCTAAATGATCTGCTCTTCGTGATGAAGCCGCCAGTTGATTTGTCGCTCCAAGGTCAAAGAGATCCATAGCTTTGCTGACATATAGAAGACTATTTGGATCGTACTCCAAAGAAAATTTCTCGCCTGCATGATCTAGATAAGTCTCGATAAGAAAGTCTGGACACAAGGCAGGTTGCTTGCTTGGATCTGCTCTTCGTCGACCAAATCTTAACTCCCATTCAGGCCCCGAACGGTATGTTACAGTTGCAATTTCACGCGCAAGTTTCATGCCTGCGTGAGGGGGAATATGATCGTAGTAAAATCCTCGATTCCAATTCTTGTCCATCATCAACACTTGCCGTTGAGTATGGCGCATTGCAATGCTATAAGGGTGGCTTCGTGCACATCCAGAAATACTGGCCACTCGACCAACTCGTTCAGGAAACAGAACCCCGGCAGCCAATGATTGCATACCGCCCATACTCGAACCAACACTCGCATATAGTTTCGTGACTCCTAATCCATCGAGTAATCGAAACTGTGCCCGCACCATGTCCTCCATGGTAAGAATTGGGAATCTCGTCGCATATCGTTTTCCGTCTGCTGGGTCGATTGTCGAGGGTCCCGTCGAACCATAACATCCTCCAATAACATTCGTGCATATGATATGATATTTATTCGTATCAAGACTTTTATCCGGACCTATAAACTTTTCCCACCATCCTGGCTTAGGATTCGCTTCTGTTGAATGTGCATGTGAAGATGCAGACAATCCAGTGTGCAGTAAAATGACATTCGACTTTTCTGCGTTCATTTCACCCCATGATTCATAGGCAATGTCGAATTCTCGCAAGACTCCCCCCCAGTCAAGCAATAAAGGATCGTCGCAGTGAAATTTAAGTGTTACTCCGCTAGTATAAGATGGTTCTGGGCCACTTGAAAGGGATCGAGCTTCTAGAGTCGCAGACTTGGTTTCGAGAGCATCTAGACAAGGGAATGCCATTGCCGGATTAGAAGCCTCTGCCAATGACGCCTGAGTAGCATTTCGTGAGCCAGACCCATGGTAGGACCTTGAGATATTTTGTGAGGATGTTTGGAGAGGGGTGATAGCTTCAAAAGCCAATTGTCTTGTCCAAAGTCTTGGAACAGCTTTCGTACTCCTCACACCTGTTCTCGCAGTTGCGATAAGACTCCTGGCAGTATTCATCTTTGATGGTTTGTAGATTAAAAAGAAATCTTTGTTTTACTGAAGCTTGAGAAATCAACTTACATTTTAGAATTAATATGCAATTTTGTTTTGTCAGCGATTTCGGTCAAAACAAAAGCCGCCACTACTGGCTTACAATGCAGCTTCTACTAGTAGATAGCACCATTGTCTCTCTCAGCCAATTGCGTGCTAGAACGTGACATCTAGCTGAGTACATACAAGGCTGAAGCCTTGCGTTTTTTCCCCCATCTAAACTCTCTTGTAGCCTTACGCTAATGCTCGGACCCCTGAAGTGGGTACGTCATGGAGGCAACATCCATCAACGAAGCAGCCTTGGACGTTCATTTGTGGCACAGCTGAACCGGCACAATGACAACCTGCTACCTTCAATACCCGATTTACCTGCAAAAACATGCTTCAGTTTGGGAAATATTTCTACAATACCATTTCCAACATAATGTCAGGAACAGACCAAAACAAAGAATCAGAGCTACCCCTCAACATGCAATTTTATGACTCCGAAAGATATCAGCCATCTTTAGAAGATGTGCTCACTGTTAAAAACATCCTCTTCACTCTACGCCCAGAATCACCGCTACCTCTAGAGCTCATCGATGCCATAATTGACTTATCCGAATATTGGCCTCATACAACAACCAAAGGATTTTTCTTTCCCGGTCAGGAAGAGGGTGACCAGAACGCCAACATCAGTAGACGAGAAGTCACCATCAGAGCCGGTGGCCCATCAGAGAATAAATTCCTTTTACGGACCCTTCCCATCGGCTATCTTCCATCTCAAGGAAACAACAATGATTCATCTCTTGAAATACATTCAGAAGATCAATGGAAGTTTTCTAAACAGACACCCAAGCCTTTGCCAAAAGATCGAGAAATCCCACAAGATGCCACAGAGGAAGTCCTCAATCAGTGGGCGGAGAGATCACGAATTCGTGGGGAACACCCTTGCAAGAAAATCGTATTTCATCTCAGAAGTCACGATCAAGGATGGGGAGGTGTACGTACAGACAAAGGGACATACAGAGGATCATACACGTGGTTTGACGTTGGCCTGGAAAGAACATATGCCACGAGGAAAGGTAATTCAACATGTTTCTGCAAGGCTCGCACCAACAACACATCCAATCTTCAAGATCTAACAACAGTCAACCCAGCAGAACACATCCCTGAAAGCCCCTCTTTCCGTCTCTCCAGCTCTGATTCCGACACACGAGATTCGACGAATGAGATTAAATGCAGTACACAAACAATCTTCCCCGATATTCAAAATAACCCAAGCTATGATCGCGAAAACGACGCGAATCCGGCCACCAAATACCCACAAATGTTTGTACATGCACTCAACCCCGATAACAAGATCCTCCAGAAAAACAAAACTGCAACAAGGGTTTTTGAGGATCATAAGATAACATGGAGATTCAACGATAATATAGTTCCAGAAAGTCTCGAAGCAGACGAACTAGAAGCTCAAGGTAGAGGACGAGAAACTGCTAATGGTGAATTTGTTCGTAACCTGAAAATTGGTGATGTGGTAACGCTTTGGGCGAAAGCGAGGTTTCCAGGTTGGGCTAATACTGTGGAGGATGTAAGTATGGATGTTTATTATGCGGTTTAAGTGTGTGTACTATCTACGTGATGATCCAGTGTTATTCAGGAATCATCATGGAGATTTTTAGGACCGTTTGGAGGAGCTCACACCTGATTTTTCCAAGGTGTTGTTGAAGAGAAACTGAGAAAGGTGGTGAGTCGTTACCGGAGATGAGATTGGTATCAATTTTGGCATGAGGTAGGACGTTTGTCGAGGATTATATTGTTCGCGCGGCTTTGAAATTCATGAGCAGCGGGCTGCTTGCCCATGATGAGATGATAGGATAGGGTCAAATTGATATACGAGAGGGGTGACTGATGAATTGGCTTAATGATATCATGATACCAACCGCACACAGAGAAATTTACATTGTTTCGAAGAGTTGTTTCCATCTTCAGTATCCAGCCCTATATTGTGATGACACTTGTTCCGATCTGTCTTGGGAAACACACTAGCACCCGTTCAATACTAATTGTTAAAATCGACCTATTTTGGAACGATTCATATCTATCTTAAACCCCTGTAAAGATATACACATAACAGTTTACGATGAAATTTCATTTATGCATACCCTATACACTTTTAATTTTATCATACAAGTAGTCCCCGCATCCATTTTAACTACATCACTGAATCTTCTTTCCACTAGTCGTCAACTTCAACGGTACAGGCTTGCTCCATAACCAAAGAGCGACGAATGCGATCCATCCTGTAACTGTGGCGCCGATTCCGGCAATCCAAGGCCAGGCATTACTGATTGCCCAACTTCTGGTGTATTCATCATGGGCAAAGTGTCTTACTGTGACGGTGTTCTTTTCCTCGATAGTGGTAAAGAATGGTCGCTTGTAGTTGACCTTGAAGTTAAAGATACCGTGTTGGTCTGGAAGCTTGAAGCTTGTGGTATATGTTTGAGACTCGGAAGTGCTAGTTGACGGCTTAAGCACAAGACGATGGAATGGTGAAAGCATAGAGAACTCGAGTTGGAGGGAGTCTCCAGTTGGAGGGGTAAATGGAACCCATTTGTCCCATGAATACTCAGAAAGCTCGATTTCGTATGTCTGTTAAATTGTAAGTTATGTTTCAATAATGTTTACTGCGTTACTTACCACATCGTTCTTAATTCTGTAGATCTTTGGGTTGGTGTCATTACTCTTGACACCATTTTCATGAAGGTAATGCTTGATGCTTCCAACCTTAAGGACTCCAATTTCTTTGAAGGTCCAGCCGGTAACCTCTTTCGAGAATTCTTGATTGGCAGTTTTGGTCTCCTTGGCGTCAGATCCAACACCTCCCATTCCAATGCTACGCTTGACCTTAGCATCGAACCATGTATCCTCAAGAATCTCTGATGACCCAATAACTGTGAATCTAGCAGAGTTTCTAGCTTGCATGGTGGTAATGAGTGATAATTGTTGTCCAACGGCAAATGGGTCTTCTACACCCTCGATATCCTCCTTGGGGTTGTAAGAGTATGCGGTTCTTGGAGCTCGGAGTAGTGGAGTCAATAATGGACTGGTGTTTCCCAATGTCTGTCCAACAGCTCTTGGGAAAGCAATGACTTCCCCGCCTTTGCCATCTCCACGGAAGTAGTTCTTAACATCTGGTCTGACAGCGTCTGGTCGTGGCAGAAGAACAACGTCGTGCTTCTCTGCGGCACTCAATGTATCATAGTTGAAGTGATCAACAACAAGAGAATTGCGGTCCGTTGGAAGGTGGATGTCGAGCTCCAAGAGTAATGAGACAAGGGCAGTGGGGGTAGGGTGAGATGATGAGAGTGTTAATAGAATATTTCCGCCCTTATTAATAAATTCGAGAAGAAGCTTTGGTGTCAAAGCTGGTCCCAAACCTGCTACGTGTTAATTGGGCTTATTCCAGTGAAGTAGGACTCGTACCTTTTGACTTGGATGGCAAGATGAGTAGATGGTCGAAGGAACGCTCTCCCAATTCAAAAAGTCCCAATTTCTCGTTTTTCGGTGACTCGTATGTTAATTTGTATCCTCGTGCTATTTGCGCAGATAATTCAGTAAAATGAACCTCACGATTGTAAATTCGCTACCACAAATAGCTACGACATACCTTCAAGATCTCCAAAGTATTTCGAGTATTTCGACTTCTCAGACAATTCCTCCAATACAACTAATAATTTGTTTCCGCCAGCACTCAAAGCTGAGACGGCACTGAGCAAGCCCAGCAATAGAAAAGAAAGAATCCACCTCATATTTTTGTTGTGGTTGACTTCAATATTCTTTCTTTCCAACTTGTGAATTGCGCGGCTTGGAAGCTTTAGGAAACGTATGCAATGCCAAGAGTTTCCCACGGCGACAGGGATTCTGATTAGTGTCTGATAGCTACACGTGATTCTGGTAAACTCACGACATCAACGTCGAACTTCCAGCCCCGAGCGATTTCAAACCCCGCGGAAGAAATCAGCAATAAGAAATTCTTGTACGTTATCTGATATTCGATCATTTGAGAAGAAGGAGCCATTTTATTTCTAGTAACATGCTAATAATCATAGACAAAATGTCGTCCACAATACCACGATTCTTCTCTCAACCTTTTCGCTACATGCGATGGGCAGCCATTGAAAAGCCCGCCATCTTCTTCTCCATAGCCGTCGGAAGCATTGGACCAATTCTTGTTCTCACAGTACCAAAGATCCGTCACAGACTCGGGGACGGACCAAGACCGCAGATTCCTTTGACATATCCAAGTAGGTTGATGCACAAATTGTTGTTTAGAAGCCAGTAATGTTTGCAACTACTAATGAATGTGTTTCGCGCAGTGCCTTCTGGACCAAGAAAACCTTTGAGTGGTTACGATGACGAGTAAAGTTTTTTTGGGGTTAGGGGGGTTGTCGGACGAAACAATCGTGTTTGTACATAGGAATGGCGTCAATGAATCGAGGGAATACCTTTACAAATGATATCACAGTGATATATTGTCAAAATGATCCGATGATCAAGTCCGAATCGACGCGACTGTTCAGCAAGAAAACTTGAGGTAGGGTATCATATTTGTATTCCTAGTGGAAGACGAAAGATTGATCTTTTACCCCTGCCTCAAAAAAACGATCGCATTTCTCTTTTGGCTATGGACGACTCGAAGCTTTTTATCAAGAGCCCAGTAACAGAATCTTAGGTACAATGAATACCATCCACTGGCTATCGACGTGAAGAATATCATAACTGTTCGCAAGTGCTGTCCTCGAAATCGTTACTCCGAACTGTCGTTCTTGATATTTGCAGCGTATATCATTTTGTTAGTTGCTCAACGCCTGTTCAGTCAGCATGACTTCTCTGGCTGTTTATTAAAGTAAAAGTAAAGTAAAAGTAAAAGTAAAAGTAAAATAACTGCGTCGAATTGTTGGAAGAGAAACATCCGCTATCTACATGCACCAGGCAAGTGGAGTACATCAATATCTCCTACATAGTTTATCAAATATGGCCTAAAAATGCACAGCTGGAAGAACTTCATGATCGTTTTAATTTCACACAATTGTTCACACATACAAACAGATAGTGTCAACCAGCCCTCCTCCGTATTTTGTGCTTCCAACTAAATGAATAGAAAGCAATCATCATGATTCTTCTTTCCTCCCCAAAGAAGCAACCAGCCAGCTAATCGATTTTGCTTACTTGGAGGGCAAAGTTGATTATGTCAAAAGATTTTGGTCAGACAGGCAAAACCTCAAACTCCTGGATGGAATTTATGAATTTGTGAATTTATGCGCTCCCTAGTCAGGGAATACCTCGTCAGGTTGCGTCTTGGAGTTCTCACTGGTCCCAACACCCTCGATTTCAAAGAGTCTAAGTGTTGTAATTAAACAGAATGTAAGGTCCTGAAACTGACCACTGGACCAAGAGGCCCAAAGGTCAGCGAAATTTTGCTAACTGACAGAGGGCCGCTTAATTTATCTTATATAGTAGATTGGCACTTCACTTCTCCTGATTTGATAGACCCACTCATGAACAGATTAAATCCTCATGTTGAATTTCTTCCCCCATCCGTTATTATTGCAGCCTCCAAAAGTATTCAAAAATTCTGAGGCTTTGGAGAAGCAAAACCTAATTGATACCAGAATGGTATCCCTCCTTCTCAATTTGTGAGTGCCCACGTTGGGGCTCCACTTTGAGGTTTTCCTGAGGTTTATATCATTGGTCCCAACACACACTCTTAACATCGAGTTGAAAATGTTGTAATTGACAGAGCCGGAGTCCCTAGCCACTGAACCAATTCAAAGGTCAAGGAGACTTTGCTAACTGACAGATCACAACTTATTTCACATCATATACTTAGAAGCGTGGTATATTCACTTGCATCGATCTAGTCAAGATGAGGCCCACTCACAAACAGTAGTGAATCTTCATATCGAACCACATTACTTTCAGAAGTCTTACTTATCAAAGAAGCAAAACCTACAAACCTCCCCCTATATCACACTTCTTGTGGAAGCGCAACTCGAGAGGGGGTTATCCTTGGCCCAGAAGAGAGGGTTTTCACTCTCTCGATCCTGTCATTGACGAAGCCGGATTCCCTAGACAAACCACTGAGCCATAAGCCCAAAGGTCGGAGAGACTTTGCTAAAACTGATGCAGTGTCGCTTGTTTCACATAATATTGTCATCTCCCTCAGTCTGAATTCTCAACACGCAGCCCCACTAGTCACCTAGTAAAAGAAATTTACCTACAAAAGTGTGAAATCTTCATGGGAAGTCTATCATTAACTGAAAAGCAAAACCTAATTCCTCGTCGCAGTGCGGTGAGGCCGGAAGTCATATATCCCAACAAGCTCAGCTTTCACTTCGGTGTTGTAATCATCAGAGCCAGTGTCCCTAACCATCGAGATATGCTCTCATTAGGAAAGGGAGACCTTGCTAACTGAAATGAGATCATTAAGTCAGATTATATAGCAGAGTTTTAATTCATCTTTATCTTGATGTCAATGTTGACCATTATCCGCACCCGAGTCTTCATGAATATGTCTACGGTCAAGTTTGTCTAATTGAGATTGAGATTCATCGTTTCGGCTTCTAAGCCATGCGCTGTCTTGCAATGAGCTCACGATAACGTATCAATGTGGCTCGCAATCAGAGCAAACTCATCGATTCTTGAGTTATTAGGATATGTTCTCAAATATCTTGCGCCCCAAATATCTTCATGTCATAAGTTCATATTCATACGGTACTAAAAGCCCAATTTCGAGACATCAGCGCTCGTAGGCTTTCCTTGTATCATCTCCGCCATTACTTTCCCAGTACCCAAGCTCATGCTAATACCCCAAGGTCCATGCCCTGCAGCAAGCCAGATTCCTCCATCTCTATCATTCCTGGTACTCATTCCACCCAGATTATCATCAGCCACCTTTGCCAAAATCGGCGTTCCCCTTTTCGTAACCGGTCGAAAGCACAAACCCTTTTTAACGACTTCCATTTCAGAGCTTTCGTCAAAACCAAACATTCTTCTCGCCGTGTTCTCTAATCTCTGTATAGCGTCCTCTTGAAACTTAGACTCCGTTGCAAGTTTTGGTAATGGTTCAGTCGAGGAATTTAGACCCGCGACATAGATTTCACCACCCTTCCTCGAAAATACTTCAGGACAATAACCCTCCTCATCACTAGCAAACACAGCTTGACATTCTTTATCTTCCAGTTCTTCGTTCCAATTTGGTGTTCTCACAACCAAAGAATGACCAGCCAAACTAGTGATAGGTAATTTCAACGTTGATTCTGGGAACAAGGTAGAAAATACCTCAGGTGACCAACATCCTGCTGCTATCAGAATTTTCGTACACGGAATATCTGATTCAATATTGGTAGAGGTGTTCAAGATACGTATACTAGATATTTCGGATCTCATATCTTGGTCAACGGACAATGCCTTCGCAGGGTGATGAAGTTGCACGCCGCGCTCAAGACAGCTTGCAAGAAGGAACTGACACAACTTGAGCGGGTCCACTTGATATGTTAGTGTGATTCTGCCAATGGATAGTGTTTTGGATGAACTCACACTTGAGCTGTACTTCCCTCTTTACTAATAGGTTCCATTTCATCACCCTCATTCTTTTTGAACCACTTAGGCCACTCTCCAGCAGTACTTGCCGCTTCCTTCACACCTACCCCATCATTACCACTAGCAGTCTCAGCCCTGCTCCCGCCCACTCTCAACCAATCGTCTCCTCTGACTCCCTTCTTCCCGCTCTTTCTCGCCTTTTCTGCAGCAATATGACTCACAAAATTTAAACTTCTACTCACACTATATCCCCATTTCTCAGCACCAGCATTCTTCTCGGCAAGTATTTTATGTTCCTCGAAACTCAAGAGCCCCAAGTCAGATGATTCATCACAAAACCAATCGCGAGAAAGAAAGCCAGCTGCGTAGCCTGAAGCGGATGAGAAAAGTGTGGGAGACGGGTCTACCAGTTGAATCGTGGAGGGGTCCTGGGAGAGAGAGAGATAGTATGCGGTTGAGAGACCGATTATACCGGTGCCGAGAATGACGGTGTTGGACATTTTGAGTATTCTGAGAGTGGGATTCTGATAAATCAATATACAAGTAAGATTTGAACTTAGCAAATCATACAGAAATGATAGATGTTAAGTAGGTGCTTCAATGCTGCATGTCGACGACTCCCTTCTGTCCTTCTCCGCAATCGGCATGACGTAATGGTCCAATGATAGCGAAGTCTTCTGATTTATATGAGTTGAGTGTTGGAGACAGTGGAACAAATATGTTAGCTGATAAGTCTGCGTCGAGTAATTCTAGGTAACTACGAATAGTTGAACTTCTTCTTATCTCAAACTTCCCATATGCAAGAGTGAGCAGTGTTGAAGCTTCAGATTAAGTAAACAGAAGATCTCAATTGCCCCACCAAAAGACATCACGCTTTTCTCACCACTCTTACACCCATACACAATCACCACACCATATACCACTTGAAGAACGAACGCATAAAATCATTAATACAGGAATAGAGAATGACACCAAGAACGATTCTTCTCACAGGCGCAAGTCGGGGAATTGGCCTTGCAATTGCCCAGAAACTTCTGAGGGAAAAACATAATGTGGTACTTGTAGCTAGGACTGCAGGACCCATGGAGGAATTAAAGAAACAGTATCCGGAACAGGTGGAAGTTGTTGTGGGCGATTTGAGTGATTTCAAGGTGGGTATTAAGGAAGATGTTGGCTGTTGAAGATTCCTAGATTTGAATGGTTATGGGTTGATCGTTGTACTCTAGTGAGGTCATGGTTGGAAGAGCAGCGGCAATTAATTGCCTGCTTTGACTACTTCTAGTGATGTTTTGACTGCAGTATTCCTCAGTTGACAATATATCATAGATATATCGTACCTACCTGTTCCATTATTTTGTTTCCTTCCTATAATCCAATTTTCAAGACCCAAGGGCCTACGACTGACTAAATCCTCCATTACCAGGTAGGACCACAAGCCGTCGAAACCACCATCAAACGCTTCTCAAAACTCGACAGTCTAATCGTCAACCACGGAACCTTGTCCCCAGTAAAACGTATAGCTGACAGCACCCCCGAAGAATGGCGGGGTCTATTTGACATCAATTTCTTCAGCGCGCTAGCATTCGTTCGTCTCCTTCTCCTTCTCCTCTCCTCTCCTCTCCTCTCCATACTCCAAGATCTAACCATACCCCAGATAACCCCTTCAATTCCCCATCTGCGCACCACCCGCGGCACCATCTTGCTCACCTCTTCCGGCGCAGCTGCTTCATCCTATAGCACCTGGGGCCCCTATGGCTCCTCCAAAGCAGCTCTCAACCATCTCGCTCAGACCCTTTCAGTCGAAGAACCATTAATCACCAGTCTCGCCATTAGGCCTGGAGTTGTGGATACAGAGATGCAAAAAGAGGTACGTGGTCATAGTACTAGCGGCGTAATGGATAAAAAAGATGCCGAGAAATTCATTGGTTTACATGAAGGGGGAAAATTGTTGAAAGCAGAACAGCCGGGTGGTGTTATGGCTGGATTGGCTAGCGATGAAAAACTGAGAGATGAGGGACTAAATGGCAGGTTTTTGAGGTGAGTTGTCTAATCTCGAAGATGAAAATGCAGCTAGGAACTAATGCGATTCAAACAGTTGGGATGATCAATTGTTGCAGAGATATCGGGAGTAGGTTCCGAGTCATATGTGATGGAAGGCGTAGATGGAAAAGGGCGGATGAAGCATAAATATAGAATAGCGCTTTTCTTTTCATGAAAGACTAGAGCACGATACATGAACACAGTCCAATCATAGTTCACCAGCAAACACGATATTCACTTTTGATGAAAGGAACCAGCCAATTAAATGTTTGTCCTTCACTTGGAAAAGTCTTGTTGCATATCTGAAATAATTAATTATCGTGATTTTATTGACTTCAATCGAAAGTCACAAAATGCGACTTTTCTTCTCGACCTCAATTAGAGTAGTATATCTTTCTCTCCAACATATCACCTTATCTTTACAAGAAGCATACCACGAACTGCCTGAATAAAATCCATCGATATGGAACAAATGTATAAGTTTACATCTAGCCAGCCCTCCGGGTATCATGCAAAAAGGCACCTACTCTTCCTCTTTCAACAACGGCTCTCTCCCAGCCTCCCCACCATCCATTATTGTCTGCTTTCAAACATTGACGTGGCGAATGCCAGGATAGAGTCTCTGGCTCATTGTTTCTTCTATGTTAATCTGAAGAGGCAGAGTTTACACTCACTCAAGACGAAGCTCCTGGCTTAGGACCACCCTGCGCGCTTCCGCCTCGCTTCATTAACCCGGCAAAGAAAGATGCTAATGCTTCGTTTTGAACTTTGCCTTCCACAGATGGATCAGTACGAGTGCCTGGTGCTGCTGACTCTGGTGAAGAATATGCTTGTCGGTCCTGCGCCCGGTTAGTTTTGCCCAAAGTCGCCAGGTAAGGAAAAGCACTTACCCGTAATCTTTGCAACATATCATCGGCATCGACCTGAATACCGCCCATATTAAACTGTACCGGGCCGATATGCTCACTAACTCTTCCTTCATCCGATGCTTTGTCCTCGCCATTCCCATATTCACTAGACACTTTGCGACCATTAACCAGGCGACTACTATCTACACTCGAGACATCTGGCCCTTGACTGATTGTATGCAGAATTTCGACTTGAGAAGCCAGGAAACTCTGAGCATCAAGACTAGATACTTCCAACTTAAGACCTTGTGATTCTGCAGACGTGGCTTGCAGGGCATCGAGACTGGGATCTCGAATAACTTCTTCGTATGCTGATACCGCACTTTCAGGTACTGGCAACGGTGGTTGTGAGTGTGTACTGCTATCATCGCTAGATGAATCTTCTTCGATATCAAGTGACCAGCCTTTGTTCACTTCCTCTACGTTGAAACCTTCGCGCAGGACTCGGATTTTACCCCAAGAGTCCCAATTTGGCGGCACAACTACCTTGTCGCGATCAATAAGATTGTGTCTGATAGGCTGCCTTTTGAGGAGAGAATGTATGCCGAGAGAGGAGTGTATTAAACCTTGCAGAGGACTAATAACCCCTGGTGTTGTGTAAATGAGGGATGCCCCATCTGATATAGTTAGCATATTTGTTTGATTGTTGTAAATGTATAACTTACGCTTGAGGAGAATTGTGCGCAAATACTGTAGAACGTAATCAAACTCATCTTCTCTCCACGACCGTTCCTTCTCCAGCGTTTTCGATTTTGTCAGACTAGACACCTGTTAATATAGCAAATATGCGCCTGCACAAAAGAACCTACGTTTGACAAACCACGCATAGTGGTAAACCAAAGCCTCTTCCCATTCTCCAGGACCCAACGGCAAGCTAACATCTCCCTCAGTAGCAGTGCTCCCTCCACCATCTAAGGTGCTTCCACCACGCCCTCTATCCCTCCAACTAATCATAACCTCTTCCATTTTCTCCTTACAATCCTCATCCAGAGATATCAATAACGGCCGCAGAAGACGTATCCAGTCCCGTAATTCTCTCAGCCAGAACCATGGTTGCGACCAGTCTAGTAATATGACAATAAGAGTATTTGGGATTGTTTGTGGTGTGAGAAGTGGTTGCATCAGAGGTGTGAAGGAGGGCGAAGGGTCGGCAAGTAAGTATAAGGACAATCGAGCCAAAATATCTAGATAGAGTTAGGTTCCCGTCAAAGTGGTCACCTGCGCCCAATTAAGCATACCTTCATGATCCGCATCCAAAACATCATGATATGTGTATCCCAAAGCAAAGTTGTTTGCAATAGGAGGTTGTTTGCTACTTTGTCTATCCTGAGATTTCCTGGTCTCATCCACCGATAAAGCCTCTAGAAATTCTTTCTGCGAATCCGCGGTTCCTCCTATTTCATATTAGTATATCCTCTCTTTAGCATATTCGGGATGCTGCTGCAGTACCTAGCACAAGGATATTCTTCTCCGGTAATCGTTTTCCACTTGCAACTCCATCCAACATGGACGACCACATATCCTTCTTCTCCTCATCATCCGTTGATGTCGTAGCTTGTGTATACGTCGACGCCCTGTTGTTTGCCATATCCGCTGTTTTGGAAGTTTATTTACTTCCTTTCCCCTGTATTGCACTCGTAACCATGCAGTTTGCAGGTCAATCTTTGAAGCCTGAGTAATTGTCGTTGGTTTCTCCCGACCCAAAAATTTCCCATCCGATATATGGGAGGTAAGTGATCAATGAATTCCGTATTTATCGCATTTGGCTATTCTAGGCCTCATCAAGTTCTGTGGTTTGGGGAAGCTTCATAAAGTTGTGAACGTAAATCAATGCAGTGGGAACACGCGAGGCAGGGGCCCAAATTTATTATTTTGCAGCCTTGTCCCTTGCTTCTTCCGCCTCACCTACCTAGTGCGTTTGTTACACCTCATTACTCTACGCATAACAACATGAATAGTATTCGTCAGATTCAAGAGCTTAATAGACGTGAATTGGAGAATGGAGTGTAAGTTAGCAATTATTTTTACTTCATTGTCAAACTAACTGTTCTCTAGTTCTCCGTCCGCCTCGTGGCACACGGATTATCGCGACACAGCTTACATCTACATAGGCGGCCTTCCTTTTGAGCTCTCCGAAGGCGATATCCTGACTATATTCTCACAATATGGCGAGCCTACATATATAAACTTAATACGGGACAAAGAAACCGGAAAATCTAAAGGGTTTGCATTCTTGAAATATGAGGATCAGAGGAGTACGGATTTAGCTGTCGACAATTTAGGAGGTGCGGTAATTGCGGGCAGGACGCTGAAAGTAGACCATACGAGGTACAAGAGGAAGGAGGGAGAAGAAGATACTGGAATGGATCTGAATGCGGAGCTGGATAGAGAAGGAGATGAGAGGCGGAAGAGGAGAAGGACCAGTGGGGGGAGTGAGGATAGCGAAGACGAAGAAGAGCAGAGACCAATGCTCAAAGAGGAGAGGGAATTAGCGCTGCTAATCAGAGACCACGATGAGGACGATCCGATGAAAGCATTTCTTATTGAGGAGAAGAAGGAAGAGGTCGCAAAAGCACTGGCAAAGGTCAAAGGAGGAAGCAAATCTGAGAGGTCTGAAAAGAGCAGAAAGCATAGACATCACCATAGGTCTAAGCGAATTAAGGATGAGGAAGATTTGGATGATGGCCATCGATCTCGGCATAGGTCTCATGGGCATGATAGAGACCGGGATCGAGATCGCGAGTCTAGGAGAAGATCCCCAGACGATGATGGAAAAGAAAGGAGGACACGGCGAGAAAGATCACCAAGGGAGGATGAGGGTGATAAATTCAGTTCTCGATCACGGAGAGATAAAGAAGAAGATGCGCCAAGGCGTCGCGATTATGAACGAGATGGTAGGCACAAGGATAGGACCAGTGAGCGACGAGAAAAAAGAGATGATTCAAGGGGGTACGAACATGATAGACGGAGGCACTAGTAATGTAGTGTAAGAGAACCTTAGCATTGGCCTTTAAGAGATTCTATGACCTAGTTAAAGCAATATGCAAGTTCTTGTGCATGAATAGCCCCAAATACACGCTCAATGCCCACCCATATTTAATGCAACCCAATTAACTCCAATCATAAGGGGTATTTGGCTCCTTGCCATGTCGTATCATACATGCATGCAAAGTGACTGATATTCATTCGACTCTCAAAATTCTCTTCCAGCCATCCCGGATACAGTAACGCTTGCCATCTTCACCTTCGGCAATGATAAATTTTTCCCAGCGACTGTCAATGCCTGCTCCAACAACAATTAGACTCTCATCACTAGTCCATCCGATGACACCTTTCGAGGCCTTGGGTCCAGCGTCGCTTGCTGTTAGTGGGTTAGAAGATGCGGACAAAGGCTCCTCACCAATGGAAAATGTGGCAGTTGCAAAAGAATATATGTCCGAGAATAATCGGGGCATCAAAGGTAGTTTCCCTAGAATTCCCCATTTGTTTCTTGCATCGGAATCTGGAGTCGTCGGGCTACTGTTACCACCGCCACCAAGAGATGTGAGCCGTCGATGGCCTGTCGCTGATTCCGATCGTGGAGGTTTCGAGGGATGCGGAATATCAAAAACGTGGAGCGTAGCTTTATCTGAAGTAACAGCCAGGAGCTGTCCTGATGGGGAAATGGAGATGGAAAAAATATCGGCGTGATCGACACCTCGTCTGAGTTCAGCGATCTTCGCACAATTGCTGGTTGCAAATACTCTGACCAGTGTACCCTACATTGACGTGAGCTTCGGAACTTTCAAAATAATGTGAACAACAATCAAAACTTACAGTTTTCACTGGCAGTTGCAATGATTTCATCATCACGGCTCAAAGCTAGAGCTCGAAGAGCTCCCGTGTGAGCAGGTATGATGCTAACATTTCCACTATTGAGTTCGACCACTTGTACTTGCCCAGATGTTCTACCGGGAAATATCAAGATGCTGGCACTCAAGCAACATAGTCCATAAGGATTGCTTGCAGTTTCATAGGCCTGATATAGCGTAGGGATGCTTTGGAAATGGTAAACACGAATGCTGTTTAAAAGTGCAACTACTATGTGAGTCCTCGTGATTCGAACTCCTCTGACAGAGGTAAGAACCGATACTTGTGCAGCAACCTTTGCTTTTAAATCATCCCAAATAATTACCTACGATAATATTAGGCCACAAACATGAATTAATCCTCCCCACTCGGATCTACTCACCTTATTCTGAGCGAACTTAGGTTGTTTTCCACCACCAACTAGAGCAATGTAGTTGGTATTCCCAAGCATCTGTGCTGTTCCAACCCGCCATTGAAGTCTACCTCCGTGGTCAGTACTGATCAGTTGAGAGATTGTGGCTTGAGATCTACCTCTGGCAACTCGTTGTTGACATGCTTCTGTGTTGAACACTGCAATTTATAGTCAGAAAGCCCCCCCAAAAGAATCCTCTTTTGAGACATACCACGAAATCCTGTATCGAGTCCAATAGCAAAACAGCTAGCATCGTGATTAAAGGAAGCTGATAAGGCTGTGGGATTCCTTGAGTTCTCTATCAAGGGCCTGGTATTCATCTTCGATAGCGATAACGTGCTCCAATGTTATTTATCCCAATGATTTCCAAAGAAATGATGTACAAAACGATGTGAAATTTGGCATCAACTTTTGGAGTTGTTCACTGCTCTTGAGATTCGATATTTTGATTTAAGAGATGGCTTGCGACAACTACGATATTCTCGATATAAATATTTAAAAGTACTAGGTAGGTACTGTCCTGCGCGGTACTGTATTATGCTGCTGTGTGTGAGTGGATAGGACTGCGCTATTTCGGCGGGCTAGGCATACTCTGCACAGTACCAGGCTATCAATTATCTGCAATCTCTGTCTACCTATGCAAAATGTTAGGTACGGTAACGTGGGTGTCCGCCGTTCGTAATCGTAATTAATGAAAAGACTAGGGGACCCTTCTCAGCGTTGTCCCGAGCCTAGTGGGCAGGTTTAAATGTTTTCCAACTTGTTGAACCATCAATTAAGGGTATTGAAATCATGACAGATCTGTTTCAGTGCCAGGAAGGTTTGGGTTTAACTCCCAACGTCAATTATGTACACAACGGAACAGTACAGTCCAGTGAATGAATGTGAATGTGAATGTGAATGTATCGAAATTCCCCTTCTATTCCACTGAATGTGATGTGTGCCGTTGTTATTGATGATATTGATAAGAAGAACTCAATCGTATCATGATTATGTTTCATCCCCCAAGATAAACTGTGACCACCCCAGAAAATTGCTTCTCTCAGCCTCGCACTGAGTTGCACAAGCTCTATCACCCGCTGCTTAATTAGGTAAAGCGTTATATTTCGCTAATTTATTCCCTGACCTGAAGAAGCAACGACCTTGTCGACGATAGTTTACGAGAGAGTGAATATCCGCGACTTCAATTTCCAAAGTTCAACAGAGCAAAAGCACTTATTTTCTTTCCATCAATTCTTTCTCTTCAATCCATCCTCCCCCCTCCAATTTAAAAGCCAGTTCAATCGTTTTTCCTCGTGGCTTAAGCCTCGTAGTAATCAGACAATCATGTCGTCTCCTTTGAATGCTGTATGTGTATCCCTATCAACAACTTTTTTGGTCTATGTCCAAAGTCTGGATAATCTGACCGCAACTTCCCCAATAGTTCTCATCTGGGGTTTGTTCTCACATTTCGAAGTTCGATCAATACTAACTCAGCGATTATCCTAGATTAAGATGCGAAGAAAGAAGAATGTCAAGAAGGGTATCCAGTTCTGTTTGATGGTCTGTGGTGCATCAGGCACAGGTACGATAGCACAATACATCTATGATAATATGAGTGGTATTGACTGGATTTCACAGGAAGAACCACTTTCGTGAACACTTTATGCGGCAAAAAGGTCCTCTCTGGCAAGGACGCCGACGATGCGACAACTGCTCATGTCGAGGAAGGTGTCAAGATTAAGCCAACCACAGTTGGTAAGCAACATTTGGATCTGCAAATTCTATCTAAATTGGATATTGACTGACACTCTTGCAGAGCTGGAATTAGATGAAGAAGGAACCCGTATTTCACTCACAATTGTCGACACACCTGGCTTTGGAGACCAAATCGACAATGAGGCAAGGTACGAGAGACAATTTACCACATGAACGATTTTAGCTGACAGACGCGAAGTTTTGGAGAGATTGTTGGCTATCTTGAGAGACAATACGACGATATTTTGGCAGAAGAATCCCGTATCAAGCGTAATCCTCGTTTCCGCGACAATCGTATCCATGCATTACTTTATTTCATCACCCCTACCGGCCACGGGTATGTCGCATCTCAATCTTCACCTCCCAATTTCAAGCTGACCTACTTCATAGCCTTCGCGAATTAGATATCGAGCTTATGAAGCGTCTCTCCCCTAGAGTTAATGTTATTCCAGTTATCGGAAAGGCCGATTCCTTGACACCCGCTGAACTTGCAGAATCAAAAAAGCTTGTTATGGAGGATATCGAGCACTATAGAATTCCTGTCTACAACTTTCCTTACGACATCGAGGAGGACGATGAGGATACAGTCGAGGAGAATGCTGAGCTTCGTGGTTTGATGCCATTCGCTATCGTAGGATCAGAAGATGTTGTTGAGATTGGTGGACGTCAAGTTCGTGCAAGACAATATCCATGGGGTGTTGTAGAGGTTGATAACCCAAGACATTCCGACTTCCTTGCCATTCGAAGTGCCCTTCTACACAGTCATTTAGCAGATTTGAAGGAAATAACCCACGATTTCCTTTATGAAAACTACCGTACTGAGAAGCTTAGCAAGAGTGTTGAAGGTGGTAGTGGAGGGTATGTTTTATTTATTCTAATCGTGATTGATAAATGCTAATAGCTCTACAGTGATGCTTCTATGAACCCTGAGGACCTGGCCTCTCAATCTGTCCGCCTAAAGGAAGAGCAACTCCGCCGTGAGGAGGAGAAGCTCAGAGAGATTGAGATCAAGGTGCAACGAGAGATTGAGGCGAAGAGACAAGAGTTATTGGCTCGTGAGAGTCAATTGAAGGAGATTGAGGCTAGAATGCAACGCGAGCAAACTGCTCATCTTGAAGCAACCAATGGAACGCATACGTCAGCGGATGCTGAAGCTTAATGGTGATGATGTACAGGGGAAATGTGTTTATGCGTAAAAACATGGATGGATGACTGGTGGCGATGGAGAGGCCTGTCGATTGCTGCATACGCTTTCGTTCGGATTTCTGGGGCTGGGGATTTTTCTTTTTGCAGGTCGTTGACGGCGCTGCATTTATTCTGGCTCCTCAAAAAGCTAATACCGTAGTTTCTTATTGCCTTCTAATGTGCAGCTAAATCGATATTTATTTCTTATTAGGTCAATAATTCTTGAAAACAACAAAGCTACCTACCTTGATGTACATGATATTTTCAGTGATGTGCTTTTTGTCTTATGCTTGAGTGTGGTGAACATCATGCGTGCAAAAGTTTAATGTCGTAAATTGACATGTTGATTCACCACAAAAACTTGACAGACATTTTAATCACGCTGCAACAACAATTATTTCCATGTTTCAATTACCTATGTAGCTATATAATAAATCATGCACATTTTTCCTTTGAGGAGGCGGCGCTAGTCATACAGTTACACCCCGTCATCATATGACATTACATACATTACGTTAGGCTTCCTCGGCACTTTAACTATTGCTTCTCCGCAGTGCCTCATCTAGACTTAATCATTTCAACACCTACATTCAACTTTTCAACGCTATTATCGCAGTGCATCGCAAATCATCAACGATCGCTTTTCGAGACACTAATAAACTATGGCGTCGAACACAAAATATACTCGCGCTCCCCAGCGAGACTCACTCGATGATCCCGCACATTATTCGCAAGCCCCTCCATCTTATGCTGAGCCTTCTGCATCTGCGGATAATGATGCACTCCTGGGAGGACCAAGAAGCAGTGAGGACAACATTCCGGATGACTTCAAGGTATAAAAAAGACCTACGACTTAAAACTCGCAACATATAATCTAACAAAAGTGTAGTTTGGAGGTTCTGTGGCCGAGGCAACCATCGAGATCCGAATGCAGGTATGAAGAGCTGGGCTATGAATAATCAGACTGTCTAATTTCTAACATTCCCTTTAGTTTGTCCGAAAAGTCTACGCCATCCTGTTAGTATTGCGCATTTCTACCAACATGATTTCGTTATGCTAATCTCCTTGTCAGCTCCGTACAACTCATTGCCACAGCCGCACTAAGCTCCGTCTCCTTCTTCAGCGAATCCTACAAAACCTGGATTCAGTCAAACCCTTGGATGTTATGGACTTCAGTATGTTAGATTTTCTAGCAACACTTGGATAATGCTGATATTTGTAGATGTTTGGCGCAATTGGCTTCATGCTCTTGACCTACTGGAAGCGAAAGTCATATCCAACCAACTTGTTGTTTCTTGGAGGATTCACAGCGCTCGAGGCATACTCGATATCGGTCATCGTATCGACATTTGATTCTCGCATTGTTCTTCAAGCCGTCTTACTTACTGCCGGAATATTTGTTTCGCTGACACTCTTTGCCTGCCAAACCAAATATGATTTTACGTCATGGATGCCTTATCTCTTTGGCGGACTTTGGGCATTGATTCTCTTCGGATTCATGGCCATGTTCTTCCCAAACAACAGTACGGTTGAGTTGATTTATTCTGGTATCGCCGCTCTTATCTTTTCCGGCTACATTCTCGTCGATACCCAGCTCATTATGAGACATTCTCACGTGGAAGAGGAGATTGCAGCAGCCATCAGTCTTTACCTTGACATTATCAACCTGTTTTTGGCCATTCTCCGAATCCTCAACAGCCAACAAAATAACTAGAGAGGATGCTATGATCAGATAATGGCATCGGGAAATGACCGAAGCAGGATGCCATCTTGCTTTTAAACTACAACTTTCAATGGACGAAAAATTATTATAGGGTTATGGGTTATGGGTTAATTTGAAAACTGGTACAATTAGCATGAGGTTCCTGTGGGGTTTTCTGGAGGTGGTTTATTTGTATCGATAGCTCTCTCCCCTTTACTTGAAGCAAACTCACATTCAATGTTATTTTATCAGTTTGCATGCAAGAATTCTTTTGTACATTTATATTGGATGAAGATGTCTAGGTACGACAGGTCTGATCTTGATGATTCGCCCCCTTCTATTCGGGTCAGGGGTCTAACTAACACCGAAGGGGTAACGAAACATCTCATCCCGAGAAAACCTCCTCAACGAAAAAGTCATTGTGTTGTGTGCAGTGCGCACACACTGGTGCGGTACGATACTTGCATGATGTATCCCTTGTAACGTCTAGAAGATAGCCCTCTATACTGAGACCTCGTTGAGTCAATTTACAAACTAAACTATTGATTAACTAGGTAGCTTGGCTTCTCAAATACCGGCTGTGAGCTAATCTAAACCCTGAACACTAAGTGCATATTTGGGGAGAGGGACTCCCGACTCCCGTAGAGTATATGCCCGAAGAAAAAAGTGGTCGTTGAAGTCAGATAGAAGTCAAGATAACCAGTCAAGCCAGTCTAATGCTGATCGTGGGCCGTTGTTTGGTGTACTTAACCCCTTTGGAAACATGAAGGTGGGAAAAAGAGGATCTAAAGGTGCATGTTCTCTTCCTTTTCTCTCCTTCCTCGTTCACTCAAGGGTGTTTCCCCTCCCGAGTCCCCTCCTAATAATATAGTATCTGAGTTACTTGAGAGATGATAGAACATTTCAGATAGGTACACCACATAAATTTATCCATGGATGCCTACGAGTAGGTCTTTCGTAGTATCCTTCGTAGTATCCTTCATTTAGCTATCGTCTCCTCTTAAGTCTTGACTCTTGACTCTTGAGTCTTCATAGTTCGCACATCAACAAATGCATTCTATTCGAACCTGACCCACCCGCACGATGACTGTATCATTAATTTGATTCGTCGATCGAGCCGCCTTTTTTTCTGAAATGTAAAACGAACCCCTTCTTTTTACTATTGTGACGCTGCAGCCACTCACTCAAATTGGATCCAATCCGAACCCACCTGTTACTGCAAATCGCTCGTCAAAAAAAAAAACCAAGTACAACACTCGCTGAGCACAGTTAATTACTCACTTCATTCACCGCCTTCTTCTTTGCTCACTGCCAGATAATTCAAAACTGTCCCATCCACCTTTCAATTATATACTCTCTCAAACCCACATTCGTTTTGACTCGAATCCGGACTGGTTGTACTCTCCTATAACATCATACGAGACGTAAGATATTCTATGATATATCCACCCATTTGATATTTCGGGTTTCAAAGGACAATTGAGAGAGAAATATATGTATTCCTCACTCAATTGAACCTCAACAATTGTTTGACCACCAATTCGAAATTTACCTTTTCCTCTCTCTACTTGTTTCAAGTCGCCATGAACTCTACTTCTCCAATCGATACGATTGAAGATGGGACAAACGAAGCTGCATCAGAGTGGGCACACCAAAATGGAGACTCTGTTATTCCTATAGAGAAGAAGCTCGACACTTCAATGGAATATCCAACTCGTCCATTGATGGGCAAAAGAAAGGCCAAGAGGAAAGATGATAGTCCTCTGGACATCATTTGCAGATTTATTGTGGACCATCAAACTGGTAAATTTCCCTTGCTCTGTTTATTTTTTAGGATCTCCCTTTAATATTGTGCCTTAGGACTATCTGTCAATCTTTTGATGCTCCTTTCCTTAACGCACATGTGCTTTCCAAGAGCCCGCAGACATACTCGCAAATTCTTCGAACTTTCCTACTACAATCCAGAATCTGGCGAGTATTGCGCCGGTTGGAATGATGCTTGGCTAGTGTTCTATTGGGTTGTTATCTTTACAGGACTTCGCGCTGCTTTCATGGATTATGTATTGAGACCATTGGCAAGAAAGGGTGGGGTGAAGACCGCGAGGGATGAGACGAGATTTGCTGAGCAGGCTTGGCTTATGATCTATTATTCTGTGTTCTGGACACTAGGAATGGTTAGCTAGAGCCCAAAACTCTTTGAAAACTTCTTCGCTAATACCCGGATAGTATATATACGTCAACTCAGACTACTGGTGGAATTTGAGCGAGCTATGGACTAATTGGCCTAATCGAGAGGTTGGTGGACTTCGAAAGTGGTATATCCTCGTCCAATATGCCTTCTGGCTTCAGCAGATCATTGTTATCAACATCGAGGCACGTCGAAAGGATCATTGGCAGATGTTTACTCACCACATCGTTACAACTGCCTTGATTTTCACAAGTTATGGTTATCATCAAACGAAAGTTGCAAACGTAATTCTTTGTTTGATGGACGTAGTGGATCTTTTCTTTCCAGTAAGCACCCCTCCTTCACCCCCTTGACCTAACGAGAGCTAATAGTAATCTTATAGGTTGCGAAATGTCTCAAATACCTCGGATACGATAAATTATGTGATTTTATGTTCGGACTTTTCATGCTCTCTTGGGTAATGGCCCGTCATGTTTTCTATCTTATCATCTGTTATTCGGTATGGGCGGACATTCCAAGGGTGATCAATTATGGTTGTTACCAGGGTAAAAACGGTTCTATCTCAGGTCCTTTCCCGCCTCCTGATCGCTTTGGACACCTCTTCAAACCATTTCAAGATCCAGTCGGAGTTGTTTGTTGGAACAACAACATTAAATGGGGCTTCCTTGGTGCCTTGCTTTTCCTTCAAGGTATCACACTAATGTGGTTCTGGATGATTGTTAAAGTTGCTATCAAAGTCATCAGGGGGGGCCAAGCAGACGATACACGAAGTGACAACGAAGAGGAAGAAGAGGAAGATATTGATTTGGATGATGAACCCTTTCTCGAGGAAGTTCCGCTGTTGGAAAAAGAGCCATATGAGGAAGAAGTTGGCGTCGAAGAATTGAATCTGGAGAAAAGAACGTCGAAAAATAGTCGTTATAAGAAGACTACGAGCAGTGCTAGTGGCGTAAGCATCCCGGGACACAGCGATAGAAAGGAATTGCTGGGCAGGATTGGTTGTGATAAAGGCGTTTAGAAATATGCTAGGGTTCCGACACATGATTTTTCCTGCTCCCGATGTATGGGGTAACAGGAGCGTGATGAATTGGGGAGTGAGGAAGACCTCTCGCGAGAATTAGCGAGGAATGTCATTTTTTCTTGCTTCTTGTTGGTGGTATATGGCATGGGATTTCTTATTTTTACAAAGATATCGGGACACACCGGCTGGTTTTTGGAGAGTTATGATGATAAAACATACCCGTTTCCTATTTTATGAAAAGTTGAACGAAGGAAAAGAAAGATTCCAATCGAATTTCCATTTTAAGGAGTTGCATATCACTCGAAGACTTCATGGTGATGATATCATTTTGGTAGTGGCGAAGGGAGGGACAATTGTATCTATGTGTTTATGTATGTGGATTAGATGTGAATGAAAAGATTATACCCAGTTTCAGACAGAACTTTGGTGTATTAAAACACCTATGGTTAGGTGTGACATCAAGGACAATATTCCTAAAGTCTAATGAGAGAAGAAGTAGATGTAACAGTGTGGATCATACAAATTAGCACAGCTGAAGAATACAAATATCGAGTTTAGTTGAAGTGAGATTAGGTAAAGTGTACAAAGGCATGAGGCACGAGGCTTGCGGCAGAGAGGGGGAACTGAGGAGCTGTTGGGAACTGTATCTATCTATACAGGAGAAGATGGATTTGACTATTATACTTAGGTTCTAGGTCTGCGCCCTCTTAAGCTCTTAACGAATTCAGAATGACGACTTCCAAGTTCTTCTCTTTGACTTCCGTGGCGCAGTTGGGCTGGCTCATCACATTCGATCTAGAATCACCCCCCAAATGTCCAGTGGTAAGAGATGCTTTCATGACCATTTACAAGATTCAAGAAACAGTATCAAGTATTTCCATTTATCCTTAGCAATGCTTTCATACCACCCACCCATGATCAATATCAAACCAAACTCTCTTTACTACCAACCCAATCATAAATCGACGTATTCGGACTTCTAAACAAATAGGTAATCTTCAAATAGATCCCGGATGACCGGTACTTTGAGCGGGGCCGTGGCTGCAGAAAGTGAAAAAGCATGGCGCACATGGTCTTTTTTTAGTGTAGTGTGAATACCGAGTCCGAGGTTTACGAAGAGTGGACGTGTACTCTGTGTGAAGTATTATTCGAAGGGCTCGAGAGCGAAATGTTCCATGCTTGTGGAGAAGGGTTGATTGAAGGAGCTTGGGAGGAGTAACTGTCTGGGTTATGACAGGACAATGTCAGGGCAAAGCTTGTAAGGCAGGTCCCACCGTATTGGTGTGTTTGTGTATAAGTTTGAACAATGATACATCATACATATATTTCTGGCATCTTTTAATAATCTTTCAACTTTCTTCTTTCCAAATTCTTGCTTCTACTGTGTAGAAATACTTTTGGTGAAACTCTTAATTGGGTTTGGAACCGGAGTGGGTTTTCGATAACGGGTAGCTTCATCATTGGGTACATCTGGCAGCGACATCAGGACAGCTTGAGGTGAGACATTGAAGGACAATTCAACATAAATTCGGGATGGCCGCGCCGGTAGATCCAGCGACGAGAAAGAAGGTGTTGAGAGTGGTGTTCTTCTCGCTGTTATTAGATTTGGTGCGTCTACACAATGGGCAGATTAATCGCGAAAGATGGCAAATAGCTAACACATCCATTTTAGATCTCGTATGATATACTTTTCCACATGAAACAAGCAGACATGAGGATCGCAAACTGACACGCTCTCGGGCAGATTCACATTCATATTGCCTCTATTTCCAAAGCTGCTGGAATTCTATAGGAAGTGCGTTTATCTAGTCTCTAACTATCCGGATAAATATCTAATATGGAAATAGTCTTGAGGCGCCAACTGCCTTTTCCTCTTCATCCAAGTCTCCTACACTTCTCGCACATATCCTCACATATCTAAACACATACAAAGCATCATTCGCGAAACCGATCGACTCTCGATATGATATTGTGTTGCTAGGTGGAGCTCTTGGGAGTTTATTCTCGTGCGCAAATATAACCTCGCTACCCATTTCGACCCGGCTTTGCTAATACTCTTCATCACAGCCTTCTCCAAGCTCTCGCGTCCCCTATAATCGGTACTCTCTCAGATAAATATGGTCGTCGCACAGCGCTCCTCGCCAGCATGACTGGCAACATCCTCAGTGTCCTCCTCTGGGTATGCGCCACCGATTTCCGTACCTTTCTCCTCTCGCGCGTCGTTGGCGGACTCTCAGAAGGCAATGTTCAACTCGCAATTGCAATCGCCACAGATATATCAGATGAGAAACAGCGTGGTGCAACAATGGCTTTGGTGGGAATATGCTTTAGCATAAGCTTTACTTTTGGACCTGCATTGGGTGCTTGGCTCAGTACAATTAGTACTGTACAGGCAAATCCTTTTGCTACTGCGGCTGGGTTCTCTCTATTTTTGATTGTGACAGAAACCATTTATTTGTATATGTGTTTGCCAGAGACATTACCTAGTAAGGTTGCGCAGGCCAAGTTGAATGGGGAGCCGGCTGCTACAAATGGGGTTACCAAGGCAGCCGGTTCTTCGACTGAGAAGACGCAAGCTAAGATGGTATCCTCGAGTACTGATGGGGTGAAGAAGCAGGGAAGAACAAATTCCCACTTCCTACTCAACCTTACTCATCTTTCTTTCATTCTGTTCTTCTCCGGCATGGAATTTTCCCTTCCTTTCATGACATACGACCTTTTTGGCTATACGTCCGCACTAAATGGTCGTCTCTTAGGATATATGGGACTTGTAGCATCTCTTCTTCAAGGAGGAGTAACCCGACGTCTTCCGCCTCTTCTTTCTGTTCGCATAGGCGTAGTCTCGTGTCTCGGCGCGCTATTCCTCCTCGCCCGCATCAAAACCGTTGCAGGTCTCTATCTAGCCACTACTCTCTTAGCCGTCACAACTGCAACAGTTGTCACGGGTCTCAATGCACTTAGTTCATTCGAAGCAGGCGAGGATGAAAGGGGTGGAAAATTGGGAAACCTAAGAAGTTGGGGACAGCTTGGAAGAGGGCTAGGACCATTATTATTCACAAGTGTCTATTGGTGGGCGGGAAGAGAAGTGGCATATAGTATTGGAGGTGTGGGTCTCATGGGAGTGGCATTATTGGTTACTTTTGGATTAGAGACTCCGGGAGGAGAGAAAGGAAAGAAGATTGGGGATGTTAAAGGGGAAGTGGGAGAGTTGTAGATCGGGGCATAGTCTCGATATTTGACATTGTGTTTTTGTAAGAGTTTTGGTTATACATTTGATGAGCTTTTGCCTGAGACTCGTTTCGGCAAATTCGTCTTTTTCGACTCGAAGGACATATACTCGATTTTGGGCTGCTACGAATCATCAAGTATATCCAGGTTTGGGCAATTGAAGGGAGAAGGGGACGGAGATGTAGATTAGAGATATCCTTTGGTGCATTGTATTTGTATTGAATTGTTTGCAAGCTTCGAAGAGAATGAAAGATTGGAAATGTTTTCCAATGGATGTGCTGATAAACTATTAATTAAACAAGTAAGAGAGGACAGGAGCAAAGAACGAGGAAAGGTATTGGGCGAATATTCCTTTTATAGGGTAAATTAGCTATACAAATATATGTATGTTACATCATATCACAAGATCCAGAATTAAGTTATTAAACAACTCAACAACTTCCTCCGGTACAAACACATAGGCTTTGTTATTCGTGCGGTACCTACCCAACTATCTGACTATCTAGGACTACCTAGGTATACATAGCTATGTAGCTAACCTAGCTAAGGACGAACTATCTTAAATGAAAATCTCATACTAGATACCTATCTAGCGAGAAATTCGCGATTCGGAATCTCAGGAGGAGGGAATTCCCTCGATGAGCACAACGTGTAGCAACCAGAACGAAACCAGTCTTCTTCGATAAAAATTCAATCCCGGTGAGTTTCGAACATTTTAACCATGAAACTATCAGAAAACATCAGATCAGAGCGTTATTACTTTGCTCGCTACCGAGTGAGTAGGTAAGATTATATATATTATACATTTCATATTTAGATACATACGTATGTGCTCGAGTAGATGTGCCATATGTACCTCGCTCGCCCTAGAATTAAAAATTTTCAAGAAGCTTCCTCATCCTCCATCTACACCAAATTCCAATCCTATTCAAACGCCCGTTCCTGTAAGTGAATACGGATCATTCTAATCTCATCTCGTCTCTTCTTACTTCTTCTTTCTATATACAAATACATCGGAATTCGAGATCATTAAATCCGTCGTGCCGATGAATGGATTAGTCTTAAATTCATACTCTCCCTTATAAATTATTTCCAACAATCATATGTCCATTATCCAATTTCTTCTCTCATCAATCCATGCTAAACATCCTCACTCCCCTTCTTCTTCTCTGACTTCCTTCTCAATACTCCCCCAAACCCTCTCATACTCCCCCCACTATCTTTCCCCGTATCGTTCGCACTCGCGTTACTATCTCCCCTACTCCTCGCTCCATCACTAATATACACATCCTCTTTACTCCTACTCCCCTCTCCTAACCCTGATACAACACCCCCTACAGCACGTCCTACGCCTAGACTAATACCACTTCCACCTATACTTCCTGGTCTACTTTTATTTCCTTTTGTGTCGAAAGAAATGTTGCTGCCGATAGAAACACTGCGTAAAGGTTTCCTGAAGCGAGCGGGAGTGGATTGGGAATGCATTTGTGGAGAGGGAGTTGTGATGGGGATACGGGAGCTTGGTTGGGAAGAGTGTGAATGAGATGGGGGCGTGGAAGGTATTCCCTCTCCGTCTTCAGGATGTGGCTGGGGTTTGGGTTTCAGGGCATGATGAGAACTGTCGAATCGGGGAAAGGGAGTATTAGATGTATTAGGGCCAACAGGCGAAGTTTCGGTCGAGTCGTCATCGTGTACATATGAGTTCCTGGAATGGAGCTTAGCGCGTTTCCGTGCACTATTATGGTTGTATGTGCTTTCAGGTGTATTGAGATCGGCTGATGATTCGTCCCCAGGCTGTATCATGGTAATTGGATCTGCATCGACATAGGTTCCACTTCCCATGGATTGACTCTCACTGTCTTCTTCACTAAGATAAGTCAATGATCTGGAGTTCATGGTCCCAATGCGCATTGAGTTGGTACGGGCGCGATTATAATGTTCATACTCCTCTTTCGAATGCTCTGCATTGTAGAAGGACTCCAAGGCGTCGAAAACATGCGGGAAGACTAGAGTGTTGACTTCTCGAGCCCACAAGAAATCGAGATGCTCATAGTGAGAGATTTCAATGTGAGTTGTCTGAGGCGGGAGCTCTTTCCGCATTACGTTTATGTCGACTAGTGAGTCGCTGCCGCCATACAGCAATACAATTGGTGTTTTAATGTTGCGAGTTGGAAATTTGGCGACTTTGGTGTATTTGTTTATACCACCTAAAACGGGTTGGGGCTCGTCATCGTACATTTGGAATGACTTCGTGCGGATGATTTGAAACCAATGAACAACTGCTTTGGTACTGGTGAAAGAATACAGATGAGGGTATGCCGCGAGCTTTTGTGAGGTGGACATATTCTTGGCGTGCCAGCCGAAGAGAAATTTCAACCCCATATCAATGAGACGCACGAAGATAGGGGGGTAAAGTATGGATTGCCACATAGTAGCCGATGAGAGGATAGAGCGGCGACCGAAAAGAAGAAATAGAACCTGAGGTGATGCTTTAACGAGTGCATCCACTATACCATTTGAAAGACCAGCTGGAGACATAGCAGGCGCAAGCGCAATGAATACATTGATCTGATCATTGAGCTTCGGATGGACAGCCAAAGTCGCAAAAGCCTGGGCAGTTCCTTGAGAGAATCCAATATACGATAATGATGGCGCAGAGGTTGTGTCAAGGATGTATTGAATAGTGTCAGGGATATCATAAAAGGCAAATTCATCCATTGAAAAGTCCCAGAAAGCTGTGTCTGTCGGTGAATGGTGGATGGACTTCTTGGAGTACTTGTTTCCGCGATTGTTTCCAAGCTACAAATCTTTAGTCTCTCATGTGTGCATAGTTTGACATGGGCCCAGCTTACCCAAACATCATAACCTCTTTCCACTAGGGTAAAAGCTAAGCATCTCTCTTTATCAGTCAAACAAACCCAGACCTCGCTGTTCATGAGCAAGCCATGGTGTAAATATACAACAGGCTTTTTAACGCTACCAGGTCCACTGTTGACCTTTGTATTTTCTTCTCCTTTCTTCCAACCGAGTCGATGAGCGCATAGCAGATAGCCATCTTTGGTTTGTACAACATGCTCTTCGGCATAATAACCAGCTAATTCGCAGAGATCTACAAAATCTGAAGCGTTTCGAATGGAGGTGGATATATCTGAATCTGTCAGTCCTTTTCCTCGATCAGATTCTGCTGAAAGACTGCTCCAACCTTGCTTTCGTGTCTCTGATTTCTTAGCTGCTGCAGATGTGAACCGATTGAAAAGGCGCCTCGAACCTCGATAACATAGTTTTATAATTGTCGAAGCTGTGCCATTGTTAGATAATCTTTCCGACGATGGCAAGTGGTGGGTTGGAACATACGAAGTGCCAATGTCAGTATTCTAATTATTGCTTCTAACCCAACAAGAAAAAACGAGCTTATCAGTGCCAAATACTCGCTCCTGTATGATTGATCAGCGATTGCCACATATAACAATTCAGCAGAAAACTTACGGGCAGAGCCGTCCGATGAATGGAATGTACATTGTGTTGAGTATCTTCTATCGTATCAAGGACTTTATTTGCGCGGTGAGATAGTCTTATACCATCTGAAGAGGCGATCTTGACCGCAAAACTGATAACGAGCTTGATATATGCAGCTAATTGCCCTAGAAGATCTAGAATATAAGGGTCTGCACAGAAACGGTATTAATTAAGCTAGGTTATTGACGTGGACAGAGCTCTAAAAATGCAAAGATGTAAAGATGCACACACGTAGAGTCCAATCGTTGAGACCTTCATTGATGCCACATCCACTTTCACATGCTAAATCGCATATCGCCTTCACTTCACTCACGCCTCGAGTGTTAAAATGAAAGTTGGTTGGTTGAGGATGATTGTTCAATTCAGACTTATCAAAGAAAAAAATAGGGAGAGTTGGACAAACACAATGGCAATTATCTCGAATGATTGGGCTTCAACATCAGACGATGGATTCACAGTTGTCGTCCCTAATTGCTTTATTTACTTGCGCGTTGGAAAAATCTGGGGAGCGCGGTAGAGCGGGAGAGCGGGAGCTTGATGGTCTCGGTCGGGTAATCCACGGGATTTGTAGCTTCCGCCCAAGAAAGTGGCACTTTATTAATGGTTTGTTTGTACCCGAGGAATGTCATGACAATACCTACATTCTGCGAATTGAAGCTCTTTTCAGAAGAAGTTCTATACCCTTTCCTGTACACTGTTTACTAGACTGGAAGTATTTTGATCACAAGTCTCAAGAAGACGACTAATTCAGTATGCCGAGTTCTTGTCAAGATATCCGTTCGCATCTTCCTTTCCTCTCATCAAGGCCCCGCTAAATTTTCGCAGGAGCTGCACTAGCACAATGTCTCCAAGAGTCAGACTGTGTCATGATTTATCGCAATAAGCCTTCCGATTGTCTGCGAGCTCCTCTCCTCGAGACTATGCCGACCAAGTGTCAACAATTGAAGACAGGCTACGGTGAATGCAAACGAGGCTTAGTCGATATGCGCAAACGATTCAGAGGCAATCAACCAATTTCTGTGAGCAAGGAGATTGAAGGAGGGGGGGAGAGAAACACCGGTGGGCATATGCTCTATGCTGGAAAGCCAGCTTTCGAAAGCGGAGTCAAAGAGACGAGCGGAAACGAGCCCGAAGAGAAGGATTGGAGGCAGTTGGAGAACGAGAGATACAGAAAGGAGTAAAAGAAACAAATCCCTACTTTCAGGAAGAGGCATTGGTGTATCATGCTATACATCCGTTAAATTTGGGGTTCCATATTGCATTGGACGGCGTTCAGGCATTGTATATCAAAGGCATTACGCGATCAAGGTTGATTATCATAACGAAATTGTAAGGAAATCCACTCAAGCCTCAAACTTCACTCATAACTATACACCAGTCTTCGAGATAGGGACCTCATTGCGGCCAACTCTTGGTCCGTCAAGCTGTTATTGGTTTTTGTTTCGTGGGCTGAAGCGGGATTTATGGTTGATAGGTTCTCTCAACCGGTAAATCGGATCCAAACTTCTATAGCTACACAGCCTTACTTGCTTACTTTCGGTGTGACTCACGGACAATAGGTATTGAGAAACCCGAAAGAACATGCGTTCAACTCGGGTTATCGGCCGTGAAAAAAGACTGGCTTCATCAACACCGGCCGTACTGGCAATTGATCGTATGCTGCATGAACGCGAGCATGCACTTTTTGTTTGCATCTGTAGTACAGCCGCCTCTGCCACCCTTGCCCAAACTCTGCAATCTTATATCACGCTGCAAGTTCGGCAAGAGCGGCCCCACGTCGCATTTCAGAACTGAACATTTGAAGCACGAGATACCTATCGAAAGAAGTTTTTCGGCCATTGGACTTGCGGTGAAATTCTTGGGTTGAAAACATCTGATTTGTATTATCCCTGTCTCAGGAGCTTTCTGATCTTGGTATTTGCCACTTGCCTGCTATCGTCCTATGATTAGCTCTAATTTTACCCACCCATCCTACACTCAACGCCATAAATCAACTTCGCAGAGAGGACATTCATGTCGCCGCCAAATCTCCAATCCATAAATATACAAAATCCCAAAACACCTTCGTCATTGTTCATTCAAGCCCACCAAGGTTGAATTGGTTCATAGTCCCAGCCCCATCCACCCATCCTCCTACCAGCTCACTACTCGACAACTTTTCACGTTGTTCCTGCTCGTATCGACTCAGTAGATCTTGATACATATCACCAAGGTTGTGTAACTCGGTGCTGAGCATCTTCACCTGTTCTTCGAGTCGCTGTCGCTCGTTTGCTTGACGTTTCCGAAAATTTCTCTGGGACAGGCGATTTTGTACAAGTCGACGCTATAATTTGTCAGGTTAAAGGAGCCTAAAAATTTGGAAATCGTTCTCACCATCTTTTGTGCGGGTGTCTTCTCTGTTACTGAATCTGTTGAGTCATGCGATGTCTCTCGTGTGCGACTACCTTGAGATTTGGGTTTTCGTTCACGAGAAGCTCGGTTTTGGCCTCGTTTCTATATTTTGTTTGTCAGTTAAGAAAACAAGAAGTCTCTTCAATTTAAGGCATTATTATAAAAACTTACCAATTCGCTTGACAACTCATTGATCATCTCGTTCCTTTCCGATCCATAATTTCTACTCTCTGTCGGAATGCTTTGTTCCAATTCTGGCACCATAGACACATCAATGGTATCGAGGTATGGACTCGGATACGGCGGTATAGTGTATATACTCTCCGTTTGTGGGATCGTACAGGTTGTCTGTTTGTTATATTAACGCCTTGCTATAATGAATTTAAAGAATGAACATACGTATGGAAAGGCAGATCCGAATGCTTCGGTATTTAAGTCACACGGCACGTCTTGATCAAATGTCAAAGAGGGAGGCGAAGGAGGCGAATACCAAATTGGAGTGGAAATTGCCATTGAATATCAGTCGTATGATTAGCTTGTATAAGATTTTCTGTGTAAGGTTGAAGTTTGTTAGGATGTTTGTTGTGATTAGAGTTTGTCTACGGTTTTAAAGTCTCGAAGGACTCGAACGTATATATAATCAGTAATCAGAAATGACTCCAGTAGCTTACAAAAGCTTCAACCGCCGCATATTCCCGAATATCTAGGCAGCGGCAGTAGAGCATTGCGCAGCTTAATTGGTAGCCTTTCAATAGGCTATAGCTATCGCACACACCATATATACCATGCAAAAATCCAGCTTACATATCCGATCGGCAACACAAAACACCGGTAGAGCAATCGATGGAAAGTTCTTAATGTCCGCCTTTTCAAGGGTCGAAACAGGTTCTGACATCACTTTTCACTGCTATTTCAGACGGTGAGTGGAAAGCCACACAGGTGCAAACAAAAATTTATTTGTGTAGCATTGTATCACTCATCTGCGGAAAATCAAACCACTTTGGGATGTGGTGGACGCCTTTCAACATACATGCATGATATGACGAGGCTTACCGTATTCGGTGCGTGCACTTTTAACCTGGGGGTCCACGTGTATGGACCGCCTTTTGCTTAATGAATTTAAGCTTGATATTCTTTCCGCTCTCTATCTGCAGAGTCAGCGCGAAGATAAGGATGTGATTGGATACCGAATCGAGTTTCTTCATCGAGCGTCTTGCGCAGGTGGAAAAGGTGCATACGTTCGGCCTTTCCGCGTTGCTCAAAGTTGATTACAAAGACGGATTTACGATGGCCGGGTTTAGAGCTTTATATCCAGAGGATCTGCATACTTTTCTGCCGGTTAAGTGAATTGAATGGAAGCGTTCCTTCTAATCATTCCGTGGTGGAAGCAGGTCCTAGGTCTTTTGTAATCATAATGTGTCGTGCGATTGAGAAGGGTCTGGGAGGGACTATATATACATTATTCCAATTGACAAATCAAAAAGATACTTCAGGCCATTCCGCGTTACTGCTTAAATTTATCTTCTCGTGTATAGTATATCGGCTTTACATAGAATCATAGTAGATGAACTTGGACTAGCTTCCATCTCCCCGTAAAACGTCCCCAAATAAGTAACCAACGTACTCTCCACTATCTTCCAAGTCTCAACTCCAAAATCTTGTACCTCTATCATAGAATTACCTACATACCAAGCTCTATGATGAAGTTCATCCGTAGAGCTTTCTCTGTGAAGAACTACTCGAGATAAAACTTCAATAGCTCATCCCCAGTCTATACTCGTGTCTGGTAACGAGTATACACAGGCGGGGGCGAAGAGATTGTCCTTGCTGTTTTGGAACGCTGTAGAATTCGCGCAATGCCGTTTAGATATATCAGGGAGTCCAGACGGGAACACTTGTGTATGATGGTGCGGAGAGGGTCTATGAGTCGTGGACTTGATTCATCGGGCGAAAACCAGTTCATTTCTATGAAAAATGAGCGGATGCGGGAGCCTCTTTATTTCCAACACAGAGAACCCTTTCCAATTTCCAACACTTTGCAGATAACGACCGACAGCTTGGACCGCTTTGCGCTTCGAATCCTTAGGCCTGAAAATATATGACTCTCATTCGAGACACCCTAGCTCTCTTGGCCTCTTGCAACTTTTTCTCGCGCCAAACTCGCGCATAACATGACTGCGAGCTTCGGTTCTGGCGCCTCGATCATTATCCACTTGGATCAATGTGAAGTCTCCTACTTTGCTAGAGCTTGAATTACTTTCACTTGCATCTAGATATTTTCAATGTGAGTGGGAGGTAGGGATTTGGCTTCGGGTCGTGATTAGCATTGTGTACCCTGAGTACATGAATCAGTAAACCCAGCATACTGTCAAAACTTGACGTTGAGAATTTTCCACTGGAAGTAGCTTCGTTACTAATGGTCTGAAAGATCAGCATTATACCCGTCTGTTTTGAGACTTTGCAATCTCCAACACAAAGTATCGACAGACCTGTCAGAAATTAGAACTCACCATGAATCTATTGACCCTCATCTTAAATCTCGCAGACATTTGTCACAACAAAGGATTCCGTATCATGAGCTAGATGCTTCTAAAACAAAATTGCCATGCGAAGAACATGCTTAACGCTGCAGCACCTATTTTTTGTACTCTGTACTTCGTGCTGAGGAACACGTTGTTTTTCAGTTCTGATCGGGTATTGTAAGGCTTTATAAGCATCAATTGCATAGCATTCTTGATGTTCTAACCTGGATGAGAATTTTTTTACAACTTATTACACATGATGAGAGCATGATATATGGGTAAGAGTTGAGGCGATGATGTTGCTTTTCGTTTTCTTGCTTTTTGCGTGCCATATTTCATGAGTATTATTATTTCGTAAAGTGAAGGGTCGAATCGTTAAGACAATTTTGCATTCTTGATCTTTTGATCGACATAGTACTTTTCCACAAGTCTCCGAGTCATTCACTCCTGTCTAATTCATTCCCCTCAACATTTTTGAGCTACAAACAAATGCGGACAACATAGCACCTTTCCGAATGCCACTTTCGATTCATATATCCCTACATCTTAGAAATTGTCCCAACCCTCTATCTTGGCAATTCGAAAAGCATTTCGCCGTCCCACCAGTGATTTCCGCACCAGAGAATTAGGTTGTCGAACGTTCTTGGAGAGATGAATAAGCTGTCATTGCACTGTAAAAAGCCAATAGTTTTTAGTTATACCAGCCGAATTTGGCTAAAAAGCTCAGTACCCAACATGAGCTTCGCTCCCAGCTTTGTTGATGTATACAAAATGTAGCTCAATTGTGTGTGTTCGGATTTGTATTAGTATAAAATCTCCGCTATTTATCTTCTATATCTAGGAATTTTGCTGTTCATCCAAGACCCATTTCACTCCGTCTACAACCATATCCGGCTGCGTTACCAGGATAAAGTGACCACTCTCGTCAGCAAACACAAGTTTTCCCCTCGTGGAAAGTTTCAAATGTTCCTTCATAAGTCCCTCACTTTTCTCATCAGCAATGTTGATCAGGTTCCTAACATAACTCCTCTGCTCCTCAGTCCCATTCCCCATCTCAACACCCGCTTTATACAACCCACTCCAATCTCTGCTCCTCAGGCCCCCGATCACATAAACCGGTTTATCTCCAAGAAGCGGCTGCTTATTCCGCAGCTCTTTCTTTAACAAAGTATCAAAACTCGGGGCGTATTCATCATCCTCTTTCTTTGCCTGTAGCATGTATTTCTCTGTTCCTCCTTCGCCTTCGAATGCATCCCATTCTCCCGTGGTGAATTTATGCTCGGATCTGAGACTAATACCAGAAAAGAAATCAACTCCTTCGGAAATCGCTTGGAGATTTGCATCATTAGGATTCAGCACCTGTAGCGCAGTCTCGTGATTCGCATCGACGAATACCACACCAGCGATGTGGGGGCCATTTCCTGTAAGGGCAATGAATTCGTTTATGAGTACACCGGCCCAAGAATGCCCAACAAGAATTAGGGGATTTGAGATGGAAGCTTTCTCAATCAGATAAGAGAGTTCTAAAGCAATATTCTCCGCTGTGGGCGCAAGAGGTGAGAGCTCAGAATTGCCATAGCCGGAACGGTCGTAGTTGTAGCTGCGTAATGAGGAGGGAAGTAGCCGTGTCACAGCAGCCCAAATGCGACTGGTGCTTTCTACACCTGCTATAAATAACACAACGGGATCTTTGGAGCTGCTGGGTTCTGGGCCATGAGTGTAGAGGGCGAGGGAGTGAGTGCCGATGTTGATAAGAGTGGGGGTCGAGGAAGACATTATGAGCTTATGAAGCTACGCGTTTCTGAGGCTTCTCAAATTCAAATGGGGTGTGATATATGATGATGCTCTCCAAATATCCAAGCTACTGCATCCATACATATATTCCATCACTATTAATGCTTTGTCAGGTCTCTGAGTCAGGCCGTCTTCCCTGAGCGTAAGCGAAGCTCGGACATAATCATGATTAACGATTGCTAATAAGCTCTCCATATATCTGATTGAAGATATCTACAGAGATCTCCAGGGGAATAGAAGATCTTTACGCAAAAGTACCTTGAGAGCACGTCACAAGTATTAAATGTAATGGCTGAAGGGCGTAAATCTGCGGCTATGTAAGCGCTAGCTGATTGCCAATTCAAATAACTCACGCTTACACATACTATTTGATCCTTTGAGCCGGGATCCGGGAGTGCTAATAGAAAAGCTTTTTCTCATCTATCTCAAGCCTGTAAATAGTGCTATTTTTGGAGCAGTGGCTCGAGAGTAATAGGCTTATCAGCTGTTTAAGGGGAAATCCTAGCCCTCTTGCTACCCACACAGTTTAGACTCGGATCTGTTAGCCACTTCGGGTAAACTGCAGCATACCCCTGAGCCTGATATCGGTACTGGTAACTCGGAACGACATCCAACAAAACCGACCTACATCTCGACTGCCAAGCCCGTCCATTCTCATTCTTGCTTGCTTTTCGGCATTACATGATTTTGTCTTGTGTGGAAATATTTCTTAGTCATGAACGCTTCTAGCGTTTGTGTTGCAGATGCAGATGCTCTTTTTGGTCCTCGGGTCGATCCATGTCGCAGACAATTCGACTTCACGTTACTTTTCGAGCAGAGTGTTTTCACCGTCGGGCCATCTGCAATATTTATCGTACTGCTTTCTCTGAGAATACCGAAGCTATATCGGGAGAAGAGAAAAACACTGCCGAATTCACTTTGGGAGTTTAAATTGGTGAGTTTCCCCATCTATTGTTATCATACGTGTGACGCTAACAACGACAGGTGGTAATATCAGTGATTTTATGTCTTCAAATTGCTCTTTTAGCATCATGGATAGTTTCTCAGGGTCAACAGACACCCGTATCTGTTCCAGCAACCGTCCTGTCAGTAATTGCCACTATTGGTCTCGCAGCATTATCGAACCTGGAGAATAACCGATCTATACGCCCTTCATTAGTAATTTGCACTTATCTTCTTCTTTCCACGCTATTGGATATAGCTCAAGCAAGAACACTTTGGTTGCAACATGGAAACACAGCATTGTCGGTACTATTCACAAGTAGTGTGCTAGCCAAAGCAGTTCTACTATGTCTCGAAGCATTCGAGAAAAGATCTTTTCTCAAAGATCCCTACAATAGATACCCACCAGAAGCTTTGGCAGGAGTTATTAATACGAGTCTTTTCTGGTGGCTCAATACACTCATCCAGAATGGTCACAGAAACCTGCTCAGTCTTGGTGATCTCTTTGACACCGATAAAGCCCTGTCAACTTCTTCCCTAGAGACAAAGATGCAAACTGCATGGCGAAATCAATCGCCCAATGGAAAATATTCTCTCCTCTTCGCTATTCTTACAAGCTTCAAAATCCCTCTACTCACACTCATATTTCCGCGTCTTTGCCTAATCGGATTCAAATTCTCTCAGCCATTGCTCATAAATCGAGCCATCTCGTTGATTGACAATCCGAGACGCCGGGAAATCAAAATACCGGATATGCATTGATTGGCGCAACAGCTCTTATATACCTTGGACTGGCTATTAGCACTGCCCAATACCAACACCAGATATTCCGAGTCATCACCATGATTAGAGGTGGATTAGTCTGCATTATTTATAATTCAACGCTATCCCTCGATGCAAACTCTACAGGCGATTCTGCTGCAGTCACACTGATGAGTACAGATATAGAACGCATTGGAACTGGATTCAGTAGTGTCGATAGTTTATGGGCTGGTCCGATCGAAGCAGGAATCGCAGCATATTTATTACAGCGAGAAATGGGTCTAGCATGTATCGCACCTGTCATTATTTCACTGGGTGAGTCAAATTGTGCACTTCGCAACATTCTCTACTAATCCCTGTAGCATGCACGATTGGAGCATTTTCAATCATGAAATGGGCAAAACATACTCAGAGGGAATGGGTCGAAGCGGTTCAGAAACGCGTTGCAATCACATCATCAGCACTTAAATCGATCAGGGGAATCAAGATGCAGGGACTCACAACACGATTGTCCGAAGACTTGCAGGATCTTCGTGTCCAGGAACTCGAGTATGCGAAGCCGTTTCGTAGGAATATTATTGCCACGGCAGTGTCATCTAACGTCACAACCCTCTGCGGACCGGCTATTACGTTTATTGTCTATATTCTTCTTCAAAGAACCAAGGATTCGGCAACGCTGAATATTGGACAGGCTTTCACGAGTTTGTCTCTGATTTCGTTATTGAGTACGCCGGTTTCGGAATTGGTTCAGACGATTCCTACGTAAGTTGATTTCAAGGGATACCAGAGATTATGAATGACTAACTCGAGAGAAAGATTTGCGGCCGCAATGGGTTGTATGGAAAGAATTCAGACTTATATCAGGACACAAGATCGCAACGATCCTAGATTTTCTAGACAAGATTCTGAACGCATCTCGATATCTGGGGAATCTGGAGACAATGTCAATCTTGTTTCCCATGAGATGGAGCTGCAAACGGTTCGTTCAATCATGGCCGGCCTCTTCGTCCCGTGCTCGGAAAAATGATATCCTTACAATCAAAGACGCATCGTTTACTTTCTCACCCGAAGGCACACCAGTTCTCAAAGATATCAATATCGAAATTTCTCGCGGTACTTTAGCCATGATTATCGGTGCATAGGAAGCGGCAAATCAAGGTCTCCTGAAAGCAATTCTTGGCAGAAACTACCAAGTAGTAAAGGATTTGTATTCACGAATACTTCAAGTATTGCATTTTGTTCTCAAACCCCATGGTTACCCAATAGCAAGCTACGAGAACTTGTGCTTGCGGATCAAGCTACGATGAAGTTTGTTATCACGCGGTTGCTCGCGGCTCTTGTGTGCTTCATCATGATATTGCTACGTTTCGGATGGCGAGGAGGACTATGATCGGTAGCGATGGGGCTACTCTGAGCTGTGGACAGAAGCAGAGATTGGTGGGTTGATTTTACTGTTTTAGATATATTAACCTGCTTCTTGTATGTAAGCTAATCCTGGTTAGGCCTTGGCACGCGCATTGTATTCCAGAAAAGACTTACTTCTCATCGATGACGTTTTTAGCGGACTCGATTACAAGACAAACAAAGCTGTCTTCCGCAACATTTTTGGTCAAGAAGGACTATGCAAGGAGCATAACATAACTGTCGTTCTTGCCACGCACGCAAGTAAGCGCGGATTCGAGTGAAATAGCAAAAAAACACGAACTGAGCTGACGGAATTTAGTTGAACATCTGCAATCTGCCGACAATGTTATTGTTCTCTCTAACAATGGTACTATTGTAGAACAAGGAAACTTTCGAAAACTGCGAGAAAATGATGATAGCTATGTCAAAGACTTGATTTTCCATGAAAGTCCAGACGAGAAATCAGACGAAGTCTCAGTCACAGAAACCGCGAACAAAACACCGACTAGACCAAAATCGGCTGAAACCAACGACTTCAACCGTCAAGATGGCGATGCCAGTGTATACTTCTACTTTGCGAAATCCGTAGGCTGGATCTACTTCTCTCTTTTCATCGGAACAGTACTTTTGTACACGTTCTCCAGCGAATTCCAAGCTGTTCTCCTAGAACTATGGTCCAAAGCGGAGACCAAGCATTCAGGTGTCTGCACAAATCTATACATGGGCTTATACGCAATGCTATCCATAACAGCCCTGTGTGGAATTGGGGGGTTGCTCTGCATCACATTGTTATTTGCAGGCCCATATGCTTCTATTAATCTTCACCGTACGCTCTTGCATACCGTCATGACTGCGCCATATTCCTGGTTCACGGCACATGATAGCGGGATAACGCTGAATAGGTAGGTAACTTCAATATCTAATGCGAGTCAATATCAATTAACACTCTATAGATTCAGTCAAGATATGAGTTTAATCGACATGGAGCTCTTGATAGGAATCGTCGACACATTCGCAGGTACATTCATGGCCATTGCTCAGGCGATACTTATTGCCACTGGAGCCAAATACGTCGGAGTCATTCTTCCATTCATAATCGGCACTCTTTATATTCTCCAGAAAGTGTACTTGAAGACATCGAGACAACTTCGATTGTTAGATCTAGAATCCAAATCACCGCTCTACTCACACTTTACGGAGACGCTCAGCGGACTCACGACCATCCGCGCTTTTGGATGGCAAATCCAATCCGCTGAGAAGAATCGAAAACTTCTGGATCTCTCACAAAAACCTTACTATTTACTCTACTGTATACAGAGATGGCTCAATCTTGTTTTAGATCTCATCATTGCTGGCATTGCTGTTATTCTCATCACGTTTGCAACACAGATGCGTGGCACTACTAGTGCAGGTACTCTCGGTATCGCTTTGGTGAACATTCTACAGTTCAACTCGACATTGAGTTTTCTGATTAGAAAATGGACTCAGCTAGAAACTTCTATTGGTGCTGTAGCTAGAGTGAAGAGCTTTGAAGCGAATACTTTGTCGGAAAATGGTTTCTTGGAAGTTAATCTACCGCCACCTGAATGGCCTGTTAAGGCTAAAGTCGACTTCAAAAATGTGACTGCGACTTATGGGTAAGAGCAGAATCGGAGAAGTTATATAGAATTTACTAATAGTATTAACAGTAACGATGAACCTGCTGTGCGGGATGCCTCATTTTGTATCGAGGGTGGCACGAAATTGGGTATAGTTGGAAGGACTGGTTCGTGAGTGTACCTTTTCCATTCTCAACGTTTAAAGATCTAACATATCTTCCCGCAGTGGGAAATCATCTCTAACTTAGCACTCTTCCGGATGCTCGAGCTAAAAACAGGAGATATCCTCATTGACAACATCTCCATTTCTACTCTCCGCCGTGAATCAGTACGCTGTTCCTTCATCACCATTCCCCAAGAACCTTACTTTCTATCTGGCACTGTCGGCTTCAATGCAGACCCATTTCATTCTCTAGACAATCAAGCAATCCAGACTGCGCTTGTTCGTGTTGGACTATGGGACATAATATGCGATAACGGAGGTTTGGAAGCTTCCATGGACGCAACGCCTCTCAGCCAAGGCAAACAGCAACTTTTCTGCATCGCAAGAGCATTGATCAGGAAAGTAGCGTTGGAAAATAAGGATCATGGAATTCTGGTGCTTGATGAGGTGACGAGTAATGTTGATTCTGCTAGTGAAGAGATCATGTTACGGATTCTGGATGAGGAATTTAAGGGCTGGACAGTACTTGCTGTAGCTCATAGATTGGGAACGATTAAGAGATACGATAGAGTTCTGGTTCTTGATAAGGGGAGTGTGGTGGAGGATGGAGCGCCGGAGGATTTGATCCGAAAAGAGGGAGGTCTATTTAAAGAATTATGGGAGAATGGATTTGGGAAAGAGAGTACTGTGTAGTGTGTTGAGTAGAGCTTCGTTTCTTTCTCTGCCTTTGTTGTTTCTTTTACTTGTAAACAAAGGAAACTCCTTAGATTGTCGATTAATTCCATTCTATTATACTATTCAACCTATTCATAGCATGGAATACACTCGTACCCATACCGGAAGCTTTCACCACACCCAATACAATTGGAATGTAAAACTATTCAATGTGTATACTGGAACCTATCGATAATCCAACTGGCCCCATTACATGTAGCACACTCAGTTCCCCATTAGATAGCCATCGCATGCTGTCAATGTCGTGTTATGGACTACCATCACATGTTGACCTCTTCTGACAATCACAACTCTATCCAGAGATACAGCGTCGTCGATAACTTTTTGAAGTAGAAGGGGATAATAAGAAAATTGGTTCATATGAGCGATATTTACAATATTCGCAGTTACATGGAGCAAAGCTCATTATGTGTGGAGATGAAATCGTCCCGTTGAGGCTATCACAAAGGGAATATATTTTTACACAACGCTTGTGGCCATAAACTTATTGGCAATGCTTTGTAGAAAATGAAAAGTGATCAAAACATTGATGTCGTGATATCGTGATGAAAAGAATATGTTTTACTCAAGTCTATCGACGCTTTTGAACGGCGCATCATCGGCTAAACTTACCATTTTCCCATCTTTCGTCCGAGAGCATCCGAGTCATAAATTCTCCTTTCTCTTCCTGAGGCTGAGTCAAGTCTTCTTTCTTCAAAGAAACATCATGACGACGCGGCGTCTCCGTTGGTATAAATAAATTTCATTGTCTTGTAATGCGAAATATATCTTCAATTTCTCTTTGTACCCCGATTCAATAGCGGCATCAACAGTACCAGTATTTCCCATTTCCAATTTCGACGCTTTCATGCAGATCTCTTCTCGACTCTGTTGGGTGCAAGGTCACGATATTAACAAAGGGATTCCCCTACACACCTTTCTTCCCTAGACGCAAAAGAGAGGGGATGGAGATGCCGCGGTGGAGTCCTGTCCATCTACACACCGTGGTGACCGTCTGTACCAAAAATCGCAATCAAAATCTCATTTCATGAATGTTAGGCCCCAGCAGAAATCCTGGTCATCCGGACACGGCTTTCCAGGGCATGGAGGGCATGTAGCCTGTAGGGCCAATTTTCTGAACCCCTCAAAGATTCCCTTGAGTTCTAGAACGATTGGGATAATATTGGTTCGTGCTAAGGTTGCGTGGATCCGGGAATGTAGTAGATACCTACTGGGTAGATGAGATATGAAATGGGTAATATATTACATGAGAGAGTGAATTTAATTGAATGAGGTAAATAAAATGATGAACCCGTCAAGGATCATGTGCGAAGTAATGGTAGATGGAGTTGATGGGGTAGATGGAGATTTATCTGCTGAGAGTTTCCACTACTGTACCGGTAGTACTGTTTCTCATGCGATGATAATTCTGGGTACCGATGCCATTGTGTGCTCCGTACACTACGCGGCTACGACAATTTCAATTTCAATTTCGATTCCGAATTCGATTCCGCAAAAAGAAGTCGAGGACGGTGAAGAATGAAGAGTCAAAAATTAATGGTTGACAATCTAACAGTGAACACAAAATGATGCAGCAGATTACGACTACAAACGGACATTTCTCACAGGGTAACATTAGCAAGCATCTCCATAGAAAAAGAGCCACGACTGCTCTCCAATCTTACGGATCCCCAAGCTAACAATCTAATCCAGAAAACGGAACAAGGAAATCGGCCTTGTGCATGCAGTAATGCAACAATAATGCAAACACGGCAGTGACGATCTGCGGAGCGCACTGTACCTAGCTACGTACTGCAATGAAGATCTGATAGCTATCGTAAAACAGTAATCTCTCATCCCTATGAATGGTGTATCAAAAACTCCGAGCTATCAGATCAATGCTTTTTTTCCCTTTGCTTCTTTTCCCCCATCTTCCCCTTTATGCCAAGCTTTACGATCAAACATGTTAAAAGAAAAGACTAACCTTACTTATTGCTGTTTGAGGTGGTTAACTAATTTATTCTCCTTGCTGCATTTTGTAGATAGGTAGTAGGTAGTTAGGTAGACAAGTAAGTAGGTGTAGTCGTACAACAATATTTCTAACCCATACGAAGTATTCAAAATTTGCGAGGTATATTCTCTATACGAATCAGACGAAAGTTATTTTTCTCAGTGAATCAATTCGGTACCCCTGATTCTTCCTGGGTATGTACCGGTGTTGTACCTATCAGCTTACCAGGCTTTGCTTTAGACGCTCGTGAGTAAAAATGCTCGGCTAATGGATAATTGTTCGTTCCTGATTATGGTGAGGAGATCTAATGCAGGTACAAGATTCTTACAAGCTTGCCGAGAAAATCGAAAATCCAATAAGAATGGATAGATGGATACCCTAGACCTTGCGGTTCCTCTTACTAAAGAAATATGATTCACGTATGATATGGGTTGTTGAAATGGTTTCTAGACCTCCGTCCAAGAATCTTGGAACCTCTGCAATTCCTTAACTTTGGACTTTTCAATATATGTTATCTGGAGTACGAGGTATGTAAGTATGTGTATGTACGGAGTATGTATGTTATTCCAAGTTTGAGTTTGAACATCTGTGTTTCCTCGGAGCTGAGCTGAGCTGAGCTATACGATGTAATAGCTTTTGTTTGCTCGCTACCTACCCAGCTGGCTAATTAGGTAAAACAGAAACGAAACGCAAACGCAAGCAACAGAGAGTTTTGCAACATCTCGCTGCTCATCCATGTCAACCCCAGACTCTCGTTCTTGCAATCTTGACAAGCACCAACATTCAGGGAGCGAAATTCATGCGAGACCCTGTTGGAAATCTTGTTGGTCCCACCCGGTCGTTTCATTAATCAATACGAGATGAACTGCCGCATGCTCGGTGGCATCTGGACTTCTCGATATGACATCACGTTTGCTGGATCAGCTTTTATACATATTCTTTTTCGATGTGCTTTTCCGTGGGACGGGAGGCAGGAGATCTTCGTGTGCAATTATGAACCTGTCGTTTTGCTATAGAGTTAAATACCTCATACAATGCAAAGTTAGATGAATCGGGAATTTACAGTAGGTCGATGGATGACGGCGACCCGATGACTAGATTAAATGCTTCATCAACAATTATTTCTTAGTACATGCTCTATAGACCTAGACTGCCTAGTATCTATCAATTGATCGATTTATCTGCGAAGGAATGCCTACTAGACCATTACCCAGCCAAGGCTCTTTACACCTGTCCATCAACAATCCAACAGCCGACCCTAAGGCTCACTCACCACACGACCACGGTGATCTCCACCAAACCTTTCAACCCAACCTTTTTGATCCTCCAGGAATCATCTCTCTGGTAAATATACATCACATTGAGGCTTTGTATCAGGTTTCACAATATTTCCAGAAAATACAGTCAGATTGGATTTCTTCCCTTTCCTCGCCTCCAGCGTTTCGAGATTCTCCTTACTGTACGTACATAGCTCACTAATGCATCCATCCCAATAATCTCTTCCTCCCATCTATTGAATTCTCCACGCGAAACGAATAATAGAAAAGCGACAGTTTATCGAATTAATCATCGCATTGGTAACCTTTCCAATATTGCAAAAACGTTAGATCTTCACAATGAGGTATGAAAATGAAAATGAAAATAAAATATGTCCGTCTACAGACACCGTAGTACAAAACTGTTTCAATTGAAACATGGCACTATCCCTCTCCCTCGTGCATCTCATGATGATACAATACAAGAGCGCACAAGTCCCCGACCATCATGTCCACGCATGCAACTTGTTTCGAGAGAGAGTAGCGTGCACATTCTCACAAATTGATTATTATTGTATGATTCGTATCGCGTTCTGAATCATCGTCTCGTTCGTACCTACCTACGGATTACTCACCGACACGACAAAGCTCTCACATCATTCATTGTTCTTCCGGGGTCCGCATCGATACATCGATGCTTGAATCAGAAGTGAAATTATCATCTCCAGATTTCTTATGCTTCTGCTTTCTCATTTTACATTACATTCATATTCATATTCATATAATAATTTTATTCGCATCAATATCATTTCACATCATTTCACACCACAAATTGACCGCTGTCTGTCTACCCACGAAAAGCACCATCACCACCACCAACCTACACCAGCACTCTCCATCCAAAGTTCCAAACCCACAAAGTACGTACCGTCCTTGGTCCCGGCTGTCCGAGATGAAGCCCAAAAGGCTTGTCCAAAGTGTTTCAAGCAGAGTGCAAAGTGACAGCGACCACCCCTACCAGTAGCCCATCGAGCGCCCATCCAGAATCTCCCTAGTGTCCGCACCCTCATCTTGCTGCTGCATGATTCGTTTGCTAACCCTCCGTGAGAAAGAGAGATCCAATTACCGTCGCTCGAAGAACACAACCCCCTGCAGAAAACCTCCTCTCCGCTACAAAGTCTAGTCGATGTCCATCCGAGAGAATTCGTCCAAGCCATCCTGGTTTCTTCTTGGTTCATCTTATTTCTTTCGTGCTTTTCGGTTTAGAGTACTTGTCTAGGTAATACGGAAGAAGATGTAGAGAAAGGAAAGAAAGGACAGAAAGAAAGAAAGAAAGATCTTTTATTCATCCGTTGAGTCTGCATATTAAAGAAATAATAACACGCTAGCACACTACTTGGAAATCTTTAAAGGTAAGTGAAGATTGGCACGAGTGAAGATTTTATGAGGATCGTGGATGCGCTATCTTCGGTCTATCCCGTACGCTATCAAATTGACAAGAGAGTTCTTTGACGATGAAGATAGGTGTTCTTGTCGTAAATAATGTACTTGTGTTTTTTTCTTTATGTGTTTCTATTCTGAGGAATAAAGAAGGAATTTAATGTAATTGTCTAGTTTCTATTATTGTATCCCATTCGCTTTTTGGTACCTGAATGACGAGTTTCGAGCAGAGATTGAATAAAGGGAATCTTTGCCGATAGAGAAGAGAAGAAGAGAAGTTTGATATCTCAATATAACTTTAAAGAAAATCCATCGACATTATCGATCTGTACGCAGAGTAACGGAAATTACCCTTGATTATTTAATATCCATCCAATTCCCCCTTCATTCTTCTAAACTCCATTCACCAGAATATCATCTACACTCACTCACTCATTTATTCATTCATTACCCTTTTTAGTTATTTTGATTAGAAAATATCCCGGTTAAACATCATCATCCAATCCTTCTACTTTCCACCAGAAACCCTGGACCAAAGCACTTTCAACGGACCCACTAAATCTTATTAGCACCGCTCCACAGCAAACCAACCCCAGTCTCACCCATCCATCAAACTTTACTCCTTTGAAATAAAACCACCTTCTTTTCCGCCCATCTGGATTTTGTCCTTTTTACCCACCACCACCACATTTACATTCCTTACAACCAGTCTTTCGAGGCACTTACACTCATTCGAGCAGTTTGAAATTCTTCGAAAGAATATATCCTCACGAGTCCAGCAGTGCTGCCAATCTTTTAACGCCAATTTCTTAACGAAACTCCCGGTCCAAGTACACTCACTCACTTTCTCGAAGAAAGCAACGGAAATTCCAAAAGTCATCTCAACACAAGGAAATTAAAACCCCCGCATTACCGTCAACGTCGATCAAAATGCGTTCCTCAATTGCTCTCGCTTCCCTCTGCGCTGCCTTTGCAGCTGCTTCCCCCCTCGTCAAGAAGGGTCTTGAGATCGCCGCTCCCGCCGCTCAAGTCGTCGAGACACATGTTGATGTCGTCACAAACGTGGTCATGGTCACTGTCACTGGAGAGCCAGTCATCGTTACTGCTGGAGCCGAATCTACCCCCGCTCCCGTTATCGTGACTGTCACTGCCCCAGCTCAATCTAGACCTCACAGATACTCTCAAGCCGCCCCTGCCCCGGCACCAACTACAACTTCCCAAGCTGTCGTTGTCGTTACTGAAACCCAAGCTCCAACTACCTACGCCGCCGCTCCAGCTACTACTGAAGCTGCCTCCGCCACCGATGCTCTCACCCCAACTTGTGTCGCTGCACACAACGATGCTCGTGCTAGTCATCAAGCTAGCCCCATGACATGGAATCAAACTCTTGCTGACTACGCCGCTCAAGAGGGTAGCTGCACCACATTCGCCCATGACTTGTAAGTTTTCTTCCTCTCTCATATATTAGAATATAACACTAATACAAAATAGGACCGCTGGTGGTGGTGGCTATGGACAAAACATCGCTGTTTCCGGAAACTCCGACGCAACTGCTTTTACTACCGAAGCCGCCCTCGCCGATCACATCAAGCAATGGTATGAAGAGGAATCTCTCTTCGGTTCATTGTACGGTGTTGCCAGCCCATCTGAGGCTGTTGGTGACTTCTTGCATTTCACCCAAATTGTCTGGCAAGGATCCCACCAAGTTGGATGTGCCGTCAAGACTTGCGGAACCGACAACTCCATCTACCCAGGCATGTACATCTGGTACAGTGTCTGCAACTACTACCCAGCAGGAAACGTGATCGGTGAATTCGCCACCAACGTTCTTTCTTAAATGATATCATGCCCATTTGCACATAAAGGAGTTCTTGGCGTTTAAGCTCTGTAGCTTAACTTACCTTTCATGTATGAACTTCTATTGAGAGGGGGTTTTTGTTGCCTGGCTCTGGGCCGCAACTCCATACCTTCGATACGCATTTAACGACATCATAAAAAATGGACAGAAATGGATGGATCTCGTGTCTTCCCTGGGTGTTCGACGACCTTCTTGACTTTATGCGTTGCGCCTTTTAGATACCCCTTGATAGACTTGGGTTCCTAATTGCTTCAAGTTATTTCGCACGTATTAGCATTCTTCTGCTCATCATTCAGTTCTTGTACATAGTTGAACTTAATAGGTCTTTGAGATCCTTTCTCCAAAACTTCATTAGTTCCTGATTGTATCTGTGATTGTGAATTGACTGTGATTTGATGGTGATTTGATGGTGATTTACCCCTCTGAGGCACGCCAAAGTGTAAGATGATTGATCGATTCCTTTCAGATCAATGAGAAATCTCGTTAATCTTCACCCGCGTTCTTGAGCGTTGATCCGATCTAGTTCAAACGGATCTACAACGATGTGACAATCGATGCATGGTTGAAGTGAGGTGGGATTGAGATTTGTGCGGGATGAATAAAGCTTGGCAAGAATGAGTCAGTCTTCGGTAGTGGCAGCGCAGCTGCGGGATAAAACGGTCCGTGCCTATATCTGAGCTAATCAAGACTCAAGAGGTGATTGAATACTGACGATAAGGCGATACGCCTAGAAATGCAGGTGTCTCGACTTTTTTCTATCTTCACACAATACTAGGTACATGAAGATATTGTTCTGGATTCAGGTAGTGTTTGTACTCTTCTTTTAATGCTTTGAAGATTTTCAGACATCTTTTTGAGTGTAAGATATCTTGGATTGTATCTGATATTCGTTTGAAACAAAGTCGTCCTTCCGAAACGAAAGTGTAATATTTTATCAGGATAACGAGGCAGCCGTTAGTGACCTTGAGAGTCAACTCGACAACACAGACAACTCAACTCCACTTCTCGCGCACGCGAATTTCACCTTCCCATTTGAGATTGAACATACAGATTACGGTCCACTTCGAGAACATTGAAGCTTTCAATTCAAAGATAGACACTTGAGTTCAGAGCATGATGAGTTCAAACATGCGTGGAGTGGGGGAGGCCCAAGGCATTGGACAGGCTTTGAAGGGTATGTTGGGAAAGGCCACTACGACGGTACCGGAACAGAAGAACGATAAAGTGCAGCTGGTCAATAGAGCCATTGAAAGCAAGAGTCCATATGTTCGCGCTCATTCTGCGAATCCGGTGGCATGGCAGCTTTGGGGGGATGAAGCAATTGACTTGGCGCGCCGGGAAAATAAATTGTTGTTTGTGAGCATTGGTTACAGCTCCTGTCATTGTAAGTTCTCCATTCTTTGAAACTCGCCAAAAGATACGATCAAGGGCTTACGACATGGAACAAAGGGTGCCATATAATGGAGCGCGAGTCATTCGAAAACGAAGAAGTAGCTGCGAGATTAAATAGCTCATTTATACCCATCAAAGTCGATCGCGAAGAACGTCCGGATATTGATAGAATTTATATGAACTTTGTGCAAGCGACGACTGGCTCTGGAGGATGGCCGCTGAATGTCTTCCTGACACCGAGTTTGGAGCCAGTGTTTGGGGGTACATACTGGCGGGGACCAAGTAAGACGACAGATTTCGAAGATCAGGTCGACTTTTTGGGAATTCTGGATAAATTGAGTACTGTCTGGTCAGAACAAGAATCGCGATGTAGACAGGACTCGGCACAAAGCTTGCAGCAATTGAAGGATTTCGCTAACGAGGGTACCTTGAGTAACAGACTGGGGGAGGGTGTGGACAATATTGATCTCGAATTACTGGAAGAAGTCACTGAACATTTCGCTAGTAGCTATGATCAGGCAAATGGAGGGTTTGGTTCAGCTCCAAAGTTTCCCACCCCTTCAAAAATAGCCTTCTTGCTCCGTTTGGGCCAATTTCCACAAGCTGTAATTGACATTGTTGGACTTCCTGATTGTCAAAAAGCCCAGGAAATCGCTATTACAACTCTTCGAAAAATGGCTCGTGGTGGAATTCATGATCATGTTGGAAATGGCTTCTTTAGATATTCTGCCACTGCAGATTGGTCTCTTCCCCACTTCGAAAAAATGCTTTACGATAATGCACAGCTTCTACATCTCTACTTGGATGGCTTTCTTTTGTCGCGAGACCCGGAGTTTCTAGGAGTCGCATACGATATCGCGAATTATTTGACGATCACTCTTTCACACTCGGAGGGAGGGTTTTATTCAAGCGAAGATGCCGACAGTTATTATAAAAATGGTGATTCCGAGAAACGAGAAGGCGCCTATTACGTTTGGACTAAACGAGAATTTGAAAATATTCTTGGCAGCGAACGTGGATTGATACTTTCCGCTTTCTTCAATGTTACTAGTCACGGTAATGTGGCGCAGGAGAATGATCCACATGACGAATTCATGGACCAGAACGTATTAGCCATTTCAAGCACTCCATCTGCGTTAGCCAGTCAATTTGGCATCAAGGAGGCTGAAATTATAAAGGTTATCAAGGAAGGCAAAGCGCAATTAAGAAGACGTCGAGAAGCTGACCGGGTGAAACCAGCTATGGATGATAAAATCGTTGTCAGCTGGAATGGTATTGCGATAGGGGCTTTAGCTAGATTATCCTCCGTTATCAACGGTTTCGATCCAGTCAGGGCTCAAGAGTACCTAAATGCAGCCCTCAAGGCAGCTACATTTATCAAGGAAAATCTGTATGACGATAAAGCCAAGATTCTCTACCGGATTTGGCGTGAAGGACGAGGTGATACTCAGGGATTTGCGGACGATTATGCATTCTTGATTGAAGGACTTATCGATTTATATGAAACTACTTTCGACGAGAAGTGGCTTCAATGGGCCGATGAACTTCAACGTAAGTGACCCTCATTCCAATTGATACATAGTGATACTAATGGCAATCAATAGAATCGCAAATAAATCTTTTCTACGACGGGAACGGTACAGGTGCATTCTTTTCAAGTACCGCCTCTGCTCAAGACGTGATCCTTCGTCTCAAAGATGCCATGGATTCTTCCGAACCTTCTACGAATGGCGTCTCTTCCTCGAATTTGTATCGCTTGTCTTCAATTTTCAACGATGAATCTTATGCAAAGAAGGCGAAAGAAACTGTGAAAAGTTTTGAATCCGAAATGTTACAATATCCGTGGTTATTCCCTAGTTTCATGCCGGCAATTGTAGCAAGTCACTTGGGTGTAAAGAGTATGGTGATTCATGACGCACCTGGTGATAATTTAGGGGGAAGATGGGTTCAGCAATCTGAAAAGGAGCCCCGGGGTTCTTTGGGATCGATTGTTCGGTTGAATTCTTCGGAGGGGAATGGACAGTGGTTGAGAGAGCGAAATCTATTGTTGAAGGATGCGCGAAAGAGCGACAAGACTAAGATACTCGTCTGCGAAAATGGAGTATGTAAAGAAGAGGAAGAGCCAATTTTTGTGGACTCGGGTGTCAAAATGGAGGAAAGTCCCATGGAAAATGATAGTTTTCAAATGACCGGTTTGAAAGAATCATTATCGGGCTCGGGGGAAAGTTTAAATAAGAGCCAAAGGGAACCAGTCCCAAAGGGAAATCTACAGCAAGTAGATCTTGGGGCTAAGACTAGCGTTGCGGATAAAGGAAAGGAAAATTAGGGTTACGTGAAAAGGAAAAGGTGTGGTTAGCTATCATGGCGTCATTATTGATAGGGGCTTAGCGGAGTTTCAAAGATGTGTATGGTATAGCGTATCAATGAATGGATTTCGCTCACTTGCTTACTTGTCTTGTTTGTTGATGTTCTGTTTGCTTTTAGTGAAGTGAAATGTACTTGATGGCTGGTGTATCTTCCAATTTGAAAATATGGTTATAGTAGAATGGTGGTAGGCCGCAAGCGGCTGGGTTTTTCAGGGATTGTTCGTGAGACTTGTAGAGGGGCAAATTTTCATTGGATGTTAAGTGTCGAGGTGTGTGTACTCACTCGGGTGTGAGTATGAACTGCAATCCCGAAGCTGGGAGAGCATCTAAGGAAATCAGTGGAATATCCATGTGCAAGTAGTCACCGAGGGGATAACCATGAATCGGCGCTTCATTAACGGTGCGTGCATTCTGATTTAATCATCGCGTTTGCGATGTGATTTAATCATTTAGGAAGAGTAGATACTTGATGTTTAGTTTTGTTTTGTTTAGGTCATCTTATATAGATGCTTAATATTTGCAGTAAGCATGTATTGCACATATTCATATTCATGTTGTTCTAGAGTCTGGTTTATAAATACTTGTTTCTTTTTTCTATATGTATCTCTCTTTTTTCTTTTTCTTTTTCTTGTTATTATTCTGTTTCGTTTGCTAAGGGGAGAGTAGACTCCCTTTCCCAATTTTGAAATAGTGTTATCTGATAATAGTATGTTGGATAGACTATGTGATCCGGCTTGGTGTAATTTGTACCTTGGCATTTGATAAAGACTCTTTGTGGGAATCTCGGTACATGGATGTTTTTTTTTTGCGGACTTTGGAATGCTTGCTCGATGTCGTTTTGGGGAATCGGATTTGGGGGATTGTTGATGGATATTGGATGTGTGATATTGATTCTTTTGTAGTCTGTGGATGTTAAGTCATTTTGTGTAATTAGATACTTCTCCTGATATTACAATCTTGTTCTTCAGTCATCTGTGTATCAAACTCGTCCCTCAAACTTGCACCTGTTCATAATACATACAACAGGATGGGTATTTCCAATGGTTTCATTGTAGCCGAAACGGAAAAACACGAATGTATATATGATTCTATCTAACCACACGACGTTTAAATTTTAAATATTCAGTCTAAAAGTATCCCACGTTCCCCAGTGCATGTTGTACTCGCAACCTCTCGGAAAATCTAAAGGCTCAAAATTGCACCATAACCCTCCTCACACAT